TTAAACTTAGTTAACTCTTCAAATATTGCGGTGAAAAAATGTCATAAATATTCTAGTGATCTCCATTTATATTCATTATTTAGTTTTTATATTTTGATTTAAAAAATATTTATAATTTTTAACTATGCTTCGATAAAAAATGTTAGGTATAATTATAACTTGTGGCAAAATTTTTCTAAAAAAGGGTTAAAAAAAATTTGGCACTAAATATCAGAGGCCCTACCCGGGTTTTATATTTCAGACCTGGCTTAGATATTTTTTTAAAAAATTTTTTCCGGCTCGAGCTGGATATTTAAAAAATATATTTACATTTATTCTTAATTTTTATAGCTAATAATAGCGATTTAAAAATTTTTCACCGAGTTGGGCCTGCAGATCTTTGCTAAATATTAAGTATAAAAAATTTGGTTATTAAGAAAAACCAAGACATTTTATAAAATTGTTATTTATTCATCTAAATAAAATAATTTTTTTAACTAAGGTTTAAAGAGAACTTACGAATTTATTCAAGTGAAGTTTCACAACATGCCCCCAATCGGTACGAAATGCTTATATCTTGAAAACTACTCAACCGAAATAAATGAAATTTGGAATATATTCCAATATGTATTTTGATGAAACTGAATTTGGATCATAATAACTAACAGTTATATAATATCAATTTTAGCATGCCTGGGATTCCCACCGGAGTATTGAAGGGTTAAGGAGGGGTCAATATAAGGCTAGACTGTATCGCCCTGTCCAATCATCTTTGAAAGAGGGTCATATTCTTCCTTTTCTCGAGGGAACACATGATCAATATAAATAAAATTAAATATGCCTATTAATTTTGGCAGATGATATTATAACCAAGCAAAATTATTGATTTTTGAACTGGCCTATCTTAGGCCTTAGGGGAAAAATTGAATCGGTTAGTATGGTAATGCGTTCGATTTGAGTATTCCTAACATTTGAATACGAATAACTAGTGAAGGTCACAGTACGCCTAGAGCCGAATTTCAAAGAATAAACCGAACGGAAGATCGACTGATAGCGCGGAACCGATTTTAAAGATTGAAGCCTGAGGGTTCGGCCCACCCGCCAATCTAACCCTTAACCTTCACTATAACTAATAATTTCCGAATACCCTTTCTTTTATTTAGTTAAATATACTTTATTTTTGTGACTTATAAATATGTGCCATACATTTACACAAACGTTTGCCTTTATTTTACACTTTTTAAAAATAAAATTTCGATTGTTTCTTTTATTCGAGTTTCTTTATTTAATTATAAAAGTAATTTATTTTTTAAAAAAACTAATTTATGGCATCGATAAAAAAAATTTTTCGGTTTTGTTTTAAAAAGTTCTCTTGTAGTATTTTGTACAAAATCAAATAAATCAAACACTTAATTTTTCCTTTTATTTGAACCTTATAAAAAAAATTTTTTTATTACTCCGCTAAAAAATAATAGTTATTCATTCTTTTCTTTATTATATTCTTTCCATTCTCTTATTATTTTTTTTCCTTCATATGGTATGTTATATTTCCATTCGGCAATGTCGGTAATTAGGCGAGTCAATAGTCAGGACTGCCATTTTGAATAAAGATAACACGAATATGAGGCTGACCCAAACTATAGTGGAATATTTGGGATCCAAATTGCTTGGATGTTTCAATTTTCCCTCTCTTTAAAATCAATCGTCATTTTTAATGAATTTTCAGATTATTTAAATTCGAAAATTTGATCATTTCACAACTTCTTCAACAAATGATCTTGAAAATATATTTTTTTTTATCTCAATCTCATTCTAATGCCTTCAGCAGACCCTTATTGTCAGCTTGAAAAAAGTTACGATATAGACTGCTAACGCACGAAACAGATTTAATGTTAAAACAAATATAATATGATGAACTGTCAAGAATTTTATAATAGTTCTATAAAAATTTTTTTTTATCTATATAAAAGTTTTAGAAACAAATATTTTTGGATAGTATCTTAGGTGCCAAATTAGTCTTTTTAAATGAGAATAACGGTAGTGAATAGGTTAAGAAGAAATCCGATCGAAGTCCGGACAAAACGCAGAATGGCCCGGCGTATTCGAATGCAACATCTCTTATTAAAATTTATTAGATCTTAACAAAATGGACGCCGTTCTAGATTTGAGCTAGCGTATAGAGATATTATTTTATTTTTTTTATTTTATTATTATATACTTGAATAATTAAATCATAATTGAAAGTAATTAGAATATTTAGCTTTGAAAAAAAAATGATATAAAAATTAAATTTCTATGTTCACTTTCAAGTTCATTTTTTAAATATGCCTAAAATTCGGGAAACTTTTTGAACGCGTGCCACTCTTTTATCTTCTTACAATTTAAATGATATTATTCTAAGCCCTGTGGTTTAGATTCGATTTCTTTATTTAGCCTCTACTAATATATCATTATATACCTCGCAATTATAAAAAAAATTCTTAATCATTCTTCGTGAGATGAAAAAATTAGGCTCTTAATTCGGAAATTGGAAAATTTAAATTTATCTTATAAATATGGATACAGGGCATAATTTCTAAATCGGGGACGAGAACCGCTTTAAAAAATGCTGGTTTCCGCTTTGAATTTTTAAGGGTTCCGATCGGTTCTCGAAGGTTCCCTAATATTATTTAATATTCTCAAGGAAATTTTAAATGAAGAAAAAATAGAGAATAATCTCTAATAATTACCTTAAAAAAATCGGGAAAAAAAATTATCTATATGTTGGAATATTCAATATAAATTTTATGGGAATTTTTATAAATATTAGAAGCGGCCTAAAGGGAATTATTTTATTCCAACAAAGGAAAGAAGGGGAATGCAAAACAAATTTTATAAAATTGCGATATCAATGTATCTACCGTTACTTGGTAGTGGCACACCTATTTTAGAGAAAGAAATAAATAAAAATTAGATTATTAGACCTACCGAATTTTTAGGTTTTACTCGGATTAATTATTTTCGCCGAAACGCATTTAAAAAAAATTAAATTTCGTCATTTTTAAATAATCTTTGGGTTATTATTTTGCGAAATAGCATATATATCTAAAGCATAGTTTTGGAGCAGCTAAGAATCATTACCCAAAGCTTTTAAGATATTTAACATGAGATTATTTAGGCTTTGTAGACCTGTGGTTTAAACTTAACCTAAAATCCTATACAAGATTAACATGAAATAAGAAAAAATTATTATCATGACTCTAATTTTCTATCGTATACCTCCTATATCAAAAGGAAAATTGAAAATATAAGCATCAAATAATTGTTTGCTAAATATCTTAACACATATTATGCTTTATTCAAAGATGAATCTAATAGTAACGAATACATATATTAAATTATTCGTTTTGTTCGACGAATAAACAATTATTAGAATCGAATCAAATTTCCGAACTATTCGCGGGATCTAACATATTTTCTAAAATAAAATTTAGTTATTTTTTTGATAATCTGTCTCGACGGGTGATTTGATTAACAAGATGCAATCAACTGCCCGCGAAAGGCGGATCTCAGTTGGAACTAATTAGCTCTCAAAAAATCGTCGGTCTGAAGAAATGACGAGAAAAACTCTTTACCTTAAAAATCGAATAATTCATTTATTCGGTTTCGTATTCGTTTTTGAATGTTATGAGAGATCATGTGTTTCATTTTTTTACTGGGAATACTCGGGTTTTGTACATTTTTTTACTGGGAATTCTCGGGTTTTGTATATAAAAAAAAATGTTTTTAATCCCGGCCCGGTTTTGTAATTTATTTTAAACTCGACCCAAATTTTTGAGATCATGCTATTATTCGGTACGCTTCGGGTAAGGCATGCAAATCTTTGAGGTTCCCTTTCTAAATCACTAAAAATAAAATTATAAAAAAATGGGAATTTCGCTTGTATCTCCTAGAAAAATATTTTTAAAGTAAATTTGAAATTAATATGAATAGATGCTAAGGAAGTGAACACTTGTATTTAAATTGAGTTTTTTTTAAAAAATCGCTAAAAGGAAAATATCATCAATATTCAAAAGTTTTTCGTTAGCGATTTATAAAACTCAATTTAAATGCATAAATATACTTCCCCAGAATCTATTAATATTATTTTCAATATTACTCTAAAATTTTTCTAGATTTGAACTAGATTCACAATTTTTACCTATTTTGTGTTAGCCATCTCGAACCTATCCCGCCTTCAATATAAATCGATTTTTTTTGGCTTAATCCTTGAATATTGAGAGCATAAAATATACATGAAATTTTTGTTGTTTATGATGATACTTTTAAATTTCCATCTTTCAATAAAATATAAATTGGGATAACCATCCTTTGTAATACATAATAAATATTAATTTAATATATTATGGAAGTTTTTTTTAACTTTAAAGTCTATATATATTCATTCGATATTTCAAAAAAAAGAATTGAATTTAATATGTATTTTTTTTGGTAATTCTAATAATTTATACAACTTTCCCTAAATAAATTCTGACAACAGACGAGACTTAAAAGGACAAAACTAATCTCATTTATTCCCTAATTTAATCATTATATATAACTGCAAGATGAGCATTCCTTTGTTATCTTTAGTAGAAATTCCAATGAATTATTCATCATTTTCCTTTAAAAGGGATAGAAGTGGCATAACTATGAGGGGAGGGCGCTATTAGGAACTTGAGTTCCGACAAAATTTTGTGTTTCATATTTTATTTTTAGGCCCAGCCCGTATTTATAAATTTTTATTTTATCTTTTATTAAAGCTCGGATCAGATTTTTAAAAATCATACAATCTAATCTCCCGTTCTGGGGGATGCATATACAGTCCAATTGGGCGCAGCCTGTTTTAACGGGTTTTATTTTAAGTTGGGTTAACATATCCGATGCCGAATCTTTTTTCTCGGCCTAGCCAGATTTGGAAAAAAAAATGATAGATCTAAATATTATTTCCCTTTTTTTGCCCATATGTTTTTTAAACTTTTTTTTTCTCTCAAAATTTTTAGAACGGAGAGTTTTTTGGCGTGATGAGATTTTACTTCCAGGAAGAGGGAGCCAAAGTCGCCACCAAATGCATCAGGGTAACCAGCACGGCCACCACGTTGCAAGTCATCAATACTCTAATCGAAAAATTCCGACCTGACATGAGATTATTATTATCGTGTCCCTTGTATTCGTTATACGAAGTGCATATCAACGGAGGTATATACCATATATTTTATCCATAAAAATATTATACAAACCTGAAGATTTTACTCATATATGGCACAAAGGTTTGAATCTATTATCGAAATCTCGAATTTTTAATAAACTGCTCAAATGGAGCAATTTGATATCGCTAATAATGCTCCGTAAGGTCTAAAATAAGGGGAAAGATAAGATATTTAGCATACGATTTGATGACCATATATCCATTCCACATCTGATTTCGTACTGTATATTAATATGTTGTATATTGAGTCATGAAATTAAAATCGTAATGGTTATTAGGAATTTAGATTAGAGCGATAAGAAAAACGGAAAATAAATCAGTAATTTTAATAATTTTATGTTTTTTTGCTAATAAAATATTTAATTTACTTAATTTATTAGCACTTTCAACCTGCTTATTCTAAATGTTCATATACTGGTACAAAATTTGTATCATTTTTTTAAAATACCTTTATTTTTAATTATATATGGACGTTCTAAACCTTTTTCTTAAGTTTTAAAAATTTATGATTTAATAAACAAAAATTAATAAAAATTTTTACGTGCGCCTCCAGCTCACGCAGGCACCGCTTGCAATTTTATTCACGTCGGAAAAAAGCCACCGATTGAGATGAGCGGCGTGATCAGGCTTGCCCCCGATTTTTTATCTATGGCGGCGGCGCGGCATGCATAATTTTTAGAATATTATATTTATATATTAAATTATTATTTGAATTTGAATATTAACATTAATAAAATTAAATTATGAATTGTATTCAGTGTATATCATACATTCATTCATATTCTCATACATCATACAAAATTTCACAAACATTAATACATCTTTTTTTATGGACTTACACGTTTGAAACCACCCTAGTTTGTTTATTGTCAGTTCTAATTGATGTTTTTTTGAGTATCTTTTAATATATAACTGATTTATTAAATTAATTGTATAAAACTTTATTTTGAAAGTTCAAAAATTTGTTTTATTTCAGCTCTAATTATTTTGATGCTTTTTAAATATATTTTTAATGTATAAAATAAATATAAAATCTAATGGGAGAAATTATGTTTAATGTGATGCTTAGGTTTAATATCATTTTATTTTATAAACAATAAAGGAATAACTGATTTTATAAAGGTTTGAAATGTAAATAAAATGATTATTAAAAAATAAATTGTCTAAAAAAATAGAAATGATATTTGATTCCTCGTCAGAAGTGCCTGATAGGACAATCATTAGTCGGGGTGCATTAGATAATGTTTACTAATCAATAAAGGCGCATGTTTTAAATCTGATTGATTCTGAATCAAAATTCTTTTCTATCACTTTTGATTTGTAGACAGATCATTTCAAGCGTCATTGGAGGTGTATCACTCTTCACTGTAGTAATGTGAGGAGTATATTACATCACCCCTCTTTGTATTACGTTAAGTCTTCGTCATTTAAATGAAAATTTTGATTTAAATTATTTTATCCTTGCAACTAGAAACGTGACACAAAAGCATGCTGGTGAAACCATATTATCTGAGATCGATAGTATAGAAAAGGTATTCCATTTAAAAAACACAATTCAGATGGTAACTGTTGTTAAGGCTAATGTCAAAATAAGCTTCAGATTGAGGGATTATGAGCATCATTTATGCTTAGGGCATGGACTTTATAATTTTGTTACAGTTGAAAGTTGCCAGAAGTAGTAATATTCTGATTAAAAAAATTAGAGAAATCATTTCAGCCCTCAGATATCGAGTAGCTGATTTGGAATGTGAAATAGAGGAAGAAGACTGTAAATCCTGCAATTAATTTACGAGACAGGCCATTTGGATACTGATGATTCTGATTCATACCTTTATGAACATTTTGATATCTCTGATGAGTTGCATTGCAAAGTATCCGTAGTGTTCAAGATTTCTATAAATAATGTTCTAAATAAAATAGGAAAGCTCTCCTTAACATCTTTTAATAACGAATGGATATAATTAACAAACTTTACACATGAAATCCATTCAGAGAGTCTGTGGAATTTCCTCCCTCCCAAAAGGGAATCAATAAATTTCGAATTTATTTCTCAGTGAAATAGAAACATATACAAATAAATCTGATTGCTCAGATATCATTTGCCTAGAATATGCAGACCATAGGTTTCCAATTACCGAACTTCAAAATTATATTTAAGAATTAGATATTAGCAACACTACTTAATCCGAGATTTAAAAATCTTAAAATTGTTTCAGAATATATAAATTCGATTCTACATCATTGTAATTTTTAATTAGAAATTTAAAACTTTTAGAACATAATAAAAATGCACAGAGTGGGATTCAAGTTGTAGATAATTAGCAAACATCCAGTTCATATATAGTTAAAATAGCTCATTAACATTCCTTCCAAGCAATGATTATAACAACATTAGCATGCCATATTTTGCGCAGCCAAAGGATGCACTAACTATTTGGGGAAAAGCGACTGGAACTTTCTAGGCCTGCTGATTTAGCTAGGAAGGTTCTTTGTCTACCTGCAACCAGTACACTCAGGTGAAGAATTTTTTCCATGGATTAATTACTCAATGCAAAAAGTACTTCTTTATGTCCCATGAATCTTGATAAAATACTAATGACTTAAAATTTTACTAAATCTGATTTCTAACTTATTATATTTCTTACTTTATATTTTGACATATTCCAAATTTAAATTTTAATATGTTTTAATAAAAATCAATAGAATACTACTAAAATGTGTTGTTTATGCACTTTGATTTGAGTAAAAATGTAATTTCTTAGTCTATTTCTGAGAATGATAAAAATACATATATATAGAAGTGAGACAGAAGTGAATTAAACTATATTAGCAATGTTGGAGCTAAGAGCACCCAAATCAGATGTAAGTAGCGCGCTACCGCTATCGCTATTTGTTAAAAAAGTAGCACGCTACCGCTAACGCTATTTGTCAAAAAAAGTAGCTCGCTATTAGCTACTATTTTTTAAAAATACAAACAAATTTTTTATTTTTTGCTTATAATGTTATTGTATAGTAAATATATAAAAATCAACATTTATAAATATTAAAATATAGTTAGTTATGATTATAAAAAAATTTATGTAATAAAAATAAATATTGGTAATTTGTTGCATTTTAATAATAAAATCATTTCAATATTATCATCCCCAAGTTTAGAGCGACTATCAGAAAGTATAAGTTTAGCCTTAAATAATCTCTCGACACTAGCACTTGAGGATAAGGGCGTATTTAATCTTATATACATATTTTTAATATAAGATAGATTATCAATAATTTTATTTGCAAGTACACCGTATGTCTGGCATCCTATTATCATTTGAGGGCTAATGCCACAGATCTTCTTTTTAAAGTCCTAGGGTCTAGCCAATGGCCTAAGATTCCCAAATAAGCTCAAAAATATTTAATCAGATCAATTTATAAATATAAATAAGTTTTTACCTTCTGTTATGTGTGCAACTATCTCCCGTGGTACATATATATGATATCTCTGATAACTCTACTATTAGAGCATCTTTCATCATTTTAAAGTTATCTGCTATTTTATTCATTAGTGTCTGGCGGCATAAAATTGTTGTACCAGGGGATAGAGTTTTAATCACCATGGTAAATGATAATGGCCTAAGATTCCCAAATAAGCTCAAAAATATTTAATCAGATCAATTTATAAATATAAATAAGTTTTTACCTTCGTTATGTGTGCAACTATCTCCCGTGGTACATATATATGATATCTCTGATAACTCTACTATTAGAGCATCTTTCATCATTTTAAAGTTTCTGCTATTTTATTCATTAGTGTCTGGCGGCATAAAATTGTTGTACCAGGGGATAGAGTTTTAATCACCATGGTAAATGATGGATTATCAACCAAGGATATTGGCTGAACTGTATAAATTATAAAATCAACAATAACTTTATCAGCCGATTTCTGATAAATATTGTCATTTGCATTATTAATTAATTTGGTTTTAAATTGAATTAGTCTTTTTGGGTAGAGTCGCCTATACCAAAATTATTTAGATGTTTCTCCATTTCCTTAAAACTCATGAACAGTCTTATAAAATAAATATTATAAGAATGTGAAAATGGCAACTTACCTTTAGGTGTTTCTTGAGGTTATAGCTACTGGATTGATTTGAGGAAATTTTTTTTGTTACATTTTAAACAAATAAATTTGAAACCAGTTATGGATTATATATTTATTTAAAAAAAATTCAAATCTAAGGAATGGGAAATTTGTATTATTATAGCTATTAAGAACATTTTATTCCCTGGTATCTTCCATTTCATTAATATCATTGTCTGAATCACTTTCAACGATTTGGATATCCATAGGCGATGACATTTTAAATTATTAACACATGATTTAGGTTTATAATACAAATGAAAATATAAATTACAAATTGAAAATATATTTCAATTTCAAAATTAAATAATAAATCATAAAAATTATAATTAATTATGATATTATATTTATATTTTCATGTTTATACTTACTTTCATTATATTTTTTGAAAGAAAAAAAATAGCGCACTAAAAAATTAAATAATTACAAAAAAAGTAGCCGCTATTAGCATTACCAATAGCTAGCTACAAGTAGCGCGCTACTTTAACAACTTTGTCCCAAATAAATTATAAAAAAAAAATACATTGAATTATATATTAAATTCATTTAAAATCTTTTAAATAAATAGCTCGCCGCAGTCAATTGAGGCTTCGGCGCACAGGTCTAATTATACCTATTCTATTTATCACGTTTGCCCATTATTTTTTTAATTTTTCTAAAATATGTTGTTAACACCAAAATACTATTTATAATATTGGAGAGTGGTTAAATTAAAAATGCTATATTTTAATGGATTATCACTTGTATATGAAATATCAGAATTCATCAAATATATATGTAAAAAAAATTTGCTCGGGTTAGCTTGTAAATTTATGTCCCGGCCCGGCGGACCTCTATCATCTGTGGAACCATTATAAATTCGTATGCTATTTTACAAGTTTTTTTTTCTTTATATATTTTATCATTTAATATTTTTTTCTTAGATTTATAAGGCCTGAAGCATAAGTCTAAATACCTTTAAAATAAATATTGTGAGTTGTGGACCTTTAAATCTAAACGCAAAAAGCTGAAATTGTAGATTAACCCTGTATTGCATGTACTATGTTAGAAAATTTTTTTTTTGGCAAACTAGATTTTTTATTTCTCTCGATACTATATTGATAATCTCATGGCTCACTTTTTTTAAAAAAATTCTAAATTTCTTAGAAGATGAACGGTATGTGGATTAAAATACACATTATGCAATTAAGGATACAAATTTCAATTTTTCCACATAATTTTTATTATACTCTAAACTATAAATATATATAATTTTATATAAATACAACAAATATTAAATGTTTGAACATTTTAATTTTCATGAAAATCTATAAAACAATTATTTGTGGGCGTAAAACATAAATATACACCACATTTTTGGCAAGATACTTTTGTAATAAATGTGCATCCTGGCATTTTACATCTACCCTTTTTATCATTATTGGGCCAGTGAGCTGTGAGGTCTTTCCTAACCTCTTCATTTGGTAAAGATTGGGCTGGTCCTTTTTTACATTTTTCCCCCGATAACCAGTTTGAACTGATTTTCGTTTTGGAATATTGTTTGAAGTGCATTTGCCATATTTGCAAAGGACTTCCGCCACCGAAATTTTGAAATTGTACAAACTTAATCGATCCTTGCCTGCTATTGATATACTATTATAATCCCGTTTGTATAGCAACCAAGAATTTATAAGTAACATGTCGAATACATGAAATGAAATTCGATGGTACCATTTTCTTGATTTGGTATGAATTCTATATAATGAAAGTAAAGAATCCATAAGATCTACACCTCCCATTGATTTATTATAAACTTTAACAATGTTTGGACATTTTATCATTATTTTATCCTTTTTTTTCTATCATATCTTTCGCAATCGATAAGAGGATGTGCACCTACAAAAGTGCTCAATAAGGTCACAGCACGATTGTCGTGCCACTTCACTGAATTTAACTCAACTCCGTTTATTATTGTTTCCCCTATCGATAAAGATTTTAGTATATTCTTGGTTATAGTTATCAAGGGTCTAATTTTATGAAGTGGGTCGTGGCCCTCACTTCCAAGTGGAATAAATTTGTCATTATCATTTATATGAATGAATGATTTGATTTGTTCCCAGCGATTTAGGGTCATGACATCAGCCACCTTGGCCTGTCTTGTATTGGTGGCCCAGTAGAGACGTGCTCTGGGAAGTTTAATAATTGACATGTAAAAAATAATTCCTATAAATTTTTCTAATTCATCTATCGATAAATTCAAAGGTTTGTTGGAATTGCATATAAATTTGATTCGTAAACAATTAGAGGTAATAAATCAGTGAGATATGTATTATAATAATCCATTGGTTTTTTTACTTTATCAACCGTTGGTTTTTCTCCTTTCCACTTTGGAATAACTAACGGTAAATTAGTTAAGCAATTTTTCCAAATCATTTTTCTCACGATTCCTTTTTCATTTTTGATATTTTCATCCTCTTCCGATTCATCACTCTCATTGAAATCTAGATATTTATAGATTATATAAGAGCATACATTTTAAATATACCTAAATCATTATTTTGGGTTGACAGAAACTCCTCATCAGACGATTCACTTAAATTTGAATCTTCACTATCATTAGGTATGGTACCACAATTCATAATTCTAAAAATATAAAACTCAAATAAAATACCTTATTTGCATAATGTGTCTTTAAAACCACGTATGATTATTACAAAACATAATTATCAAAAATAATAAATATATATAAAATAATTTCATAAACATTAATTTTTACCTTTTATTTATCTAATTTTAATGTTTTGAAATTTGTCAAATATATTATTTATCCTTTTACGATGTGTAGAAAATTGAGAAGAAAAATTTTATAAAAAAATAGCCATTTTTAAAAATAGGGTTTAATAAAATGCGAAATTAAAAATATATAATAGATCACGTGGGCCATATTAACATTCGAATCGAAAATATGGATTGTGGCTTCAAATACACACCATGCAATTGATTTAAAATTTATTTATAAAATATTTATTATATAATTTGTGGTATGTGGATTGAGATACACAGTATGCAATACAGGGTTAATTATTAAAATGCTGAATTTTCAAAAAAAATATTCTTTAAAGATGAAAGAAAAATAGAAGACGACGAAAAACCTTTACTCGTTCAACTTAATTGGAACAAAGATGACAGAGAAGGTCGTTTCTTACTCAAACGGGAGGATGATAAAACCAAAGTTTTATTTTTACTTCTTTTTTGTAAATAAAAATGTAAAACAAATTGGGCAAATGATGAGTTTGGCTTAACTCCTTACTCGCAACTGATAGATTAGAGAGTATCTTTAAATCGCCAGTAGAACGCTAGGTATTATAACGCTTTTAGTGTAAAACGTTTGAATTGGGTGGCATGTTGACAATCACCTAAGCTTCTATAAAAAGAAAGTCTTTATTATTATTATTATGAAAAATAGATATTTTATTTTCAGTGAGTAAAGAGGGGGGAGTGGAAAATTTCTCCCGCTCTTAGTATAATTTTATAATATAATAAAGAAACAAATATTTAAACTGAATTTCAGCCCACTGGTTTAGATGATTCTTACTACAGAGGTCGCGAGGTTAAGACATTTCTAAACCACTCTGTCATAGAAAACAGCGACATGACTCCCCAGCGATGTGATACTGTCAACAAGAACAACCATAATCATTCCTTTTTCTCATCCTTCTCCTCCGCCACCCTTTTCCATAATCACGACTCTGAAAAAAATCGTGCGAAATTGCTCGAAAATAATAACGTATCCCCTAATAACGACAATAGCGGAATTTACGATCCCGTTGAGATGGCTCGAAATATGGAAGCCGAAACGGTGGAAAAAAATGGCAAAGAACGTAACACCACCACGAGGAAGTCTAAAAGTAAATGCACTAATTTAAAAAAAAATTTCTAAGTAGTATGTCATTCACATTCCTAAGTTGTTAAAATGTTATCATTTTTGGATTTAGGTTTATTTGCTTATTATGTCATTATTATATTTTTGCTAATCGGGTCTCAGTGGCAAACAATTCGTTCATTTGAATGTGTACCAATACAAGTCAGCTGGTGATACGCCATTTTGCTATCTTACATAAATATTTAACATTAAAATTATATAAAACATTTTTAAAAAAATTTAGTTTCATTTTAAAAAAATTTATACGCGAAATCAAAATGGCGTATCACCAGCTGATTTGTTTTTAACAACGCTTTAAAGGGCATTATAAAGAGTAAGTGCTAGTTATAGGCAAGCAATTACATCATTGTCCGGTCTATAAAATAAATAACTAAATTACAAGAGCGGTTACTTTTTTCTGATCAAAATGGAGGTGCGATATATATAGAATGCTAGGGCTAGATAAACTGATAAGGGTTCAAGATAAACAGGTGATCAACTTTGGAAGTTTTTAGTTGGTGATAGCATAATTATTTTCAAATTTGGTTTTATTACCAAAATGTAATATATTTGAACAAAGTTTTTTTTCCGATAAGAAGATTAAATGTTTGTACTTGGTATATTTAAAAAAATAATCAATAACTTCAGAACAAAAATAAATTTATATGAAAAAAAGAAAGAAAATAAGGCAGATGATATATTATGACCAGTTTTAAAAATTGTGATTGGTCGAAAAAAATTATAAATATTAAAGCTACACGGGATTTGCCTAATTTCCAAATCATTTTTTTGAACGGGTAATTTCCATTTACATTATTATTGTAAGAGGCAAATAATAAATAATGCCCATTGCTAAATAGAGGTTTTATATTAAGCGAGTTTTCCCGCGCAAACCTGTCTGTTCATGGTTTTCGACAAAAATTTTCCCGCCTGCTGCCCTTAATTTAAAAATAATGTTTTAAATAATATTAAACTCACCCTAACCACCCGCCGACATAATATTTTAAGCACTCTCGTTCTCCTGGGTAAGCTGAAACTCTTCTTCTATGAGTGTATTATTATGAATAATCCGGCTTTTTTCACGGTAGCATAAAGGTTAAAATTTTAAAAATATTGTGTTTTATAAGTTTATCAAATTTCTGAATTTCTGAAACTTTTAAATGGAAAATAATAATAGGACTTATTATTTCATACAGTTCAATGCATACTAATGCCTGCACCTTGATTATTATTAGTATAGGTAATATACACATTTTAAAATGCATTTCCGGTAAAATCAGGTTTTTTTCAAATTTAAAACGTTTCAATAAATGAAAATAAAATTTGTAATTTTCATAAGAAAAAAATATATGGAGGAGTTGATAAAATTATAAATAACTCTTTATGTTTGAGGAAAAAAAACAATTTAAATAAAATATTTAAGAGGATTTGAAGTAAATGCGCCTCCTAATTCCATTTTTACATGTAAATTTTATAAAATAAAGATGAAGAATCCACCCCTTCTAAAATCTTTTTTTTATTAGAAAAAAAAGAAAAATCAACTAAAAACGGAACACCTATTAAAACGGTGGCAAATGAAAAAGACGTTAAAATAAGCGATAAATTATACGAGGCCATGCCAGAAACTTCCTTTACCAGGAGCATTTCTAACCCCGAAGCGGTTATGAGACGGCGACGCCAACAAAAGCTGGAGAAAAAACTGAGACTTATTAAGGTGATTTTTTTGCAATAAATTCATAATTTTTTTTATCTCGTCTTATATATATGAATATATCATCGGCTGAGTATTATAGTGTTCTATATCCACTTTTTTGCAAAATACTTTTTTTTGATATATCTACTTTGCTATATTCTTATATATCCCTAAATGTTAAAATATAATTTACAATGATCCTCTCTCTATTTGCATTATTACGTTGTGATTTCATATTAAAATGCAAGAAATATATTATTTATAAATGCTCTCCTGAATATGGAACACTATAATACTCAACTGAGGATATTATTTTAGAAACTTTAGTATAGTTTAGTTTTTTAAATATGTTATTATGTTTTAAAAATCTTACTGCGCTATTTTCTCCATTTTTTAAAAAAAATCTTTTTTTTCTAACTGGATATTATTTTCTTTCTTCTGGTGATTATGCCTCCGGGAATCGAATTTTATTCGGAAAATTTTTTTTTGAGATGTCAATCATTGACCTTATTTTTAATTTTAAGTATTATCTGGGTATAAATTTTGTTAGAAATAATTATAAATAAATTGGAAGTTAAATTCTGATTTTTATTTGAGGAAATTTTTAGGATATAAGTGGCAGCTTATTCAAATAATTTTTTAAGACTTAAATTGAGGCAAATGGTGTCACAAATTCTTATCAACTGAGTACACTTTCCTCCTTCCTTAACGCCATTTTATTTGCAAAAATGTATAATTAGTTTATCAAATTATTAAATATGACACTTTGAATAAAAACGCACTAAAGGCTATCGGTAAAAATCAAAACAATACTAACGGCAATATTGGGAACACGAAAAATGATCCTGGAAAATTTGATAATTATGCCAGCACTTTTAGCAAAAATGAAGGCGGTGGTATAAAGAATGGGATCTTAGCTAATGGAGGTATAGTCTTTAATTCCTGCCATAATTTTAGTTAAACACAATTTATTTTAGAGTTTAGAATGCTCTTCATAATAAAAAAGAAAAGATTTTTTTAAGAACGCATGCAGGATTTTTGATCAAATTTTTCCTAAAATTCCAAATTTTTTATCTCGGAAAAAAATCTTTTATCATTTTTTGTTATTTTTTGCTTAAAAAATCTTTCTTGGTTGAAATCACAAATTTTTGTTCTTTAAAAATAATCTTCATTATATGCTCAAAATTTTGGGCCAAAATATAATTTAAGAAAATCTTTGAAAGATTTTTCTCAAACTCTGATTTATTTAAAACGTAAGATTATTGCTATATTCTGGAAATCTAACATTATATAACTGTCCTTACACATTAATTTAGGTGGAATGTTAAAGATTTACGGGGAATCACTGAAGCCAGGCATACCTTACAAAACTCTGCTACTCGCTACAAATGATACGGCTAGCTATGTTGTTAGAGAAATTCTCAATAAATATGGCATGCCAGACCACGAACCTTCTGATTATTGTTTGTTCAAGGTTACAACTTTTTTCTTAGTTTTTGTTCTGAATTTTAAACGACTTTTAGACCATTACTTCCCTTCCATCACTTACTACATTATTAATTTAGTAGCCACCAATTTTGAATCACGCATGCAATCATTGTAGTTATATTTCATAATACTTAGAATCTGAGCTAATCAGCTGAAGTGATTATATCCTATTTACACATGATTGGTTTCATTTTGTGATAGTCTTTTTTTTATCGATTACACCTTACCCCCTTGGCAAAAAAGAAAATCATAATTAATATAAAAAGCTGATGCCTATAATATTCTATTGTCATCTTTATATAAAATAAATTCATCATTTTATTATTTAATGTGAATTTAAAAATGGCCTATATAATAAATTATTTAGTTATCTTTTTATAATATAAATTAAACATCTTGTAAACTGTTATTTATCTTATCAACCTTGATAACTTTTACATTTTTAAAAAAAATACATAATCAAATTTTAGGTTCAGATACCTCTGATTAAGGATGGCGAGAGTGAAAGAATATATGACATAACTTCGAATTGTCAAAATTTTAAAAGCCAGTACATTCTCGAAGATCAGGAGTCTCCCCTTGCACTTTTACATCAAGGAGCCCTCACTAGAAAAAACGGTAGATATATATATATAAATTATTCCTTTTATTAAAAACGAGTTAGTTAAGATCCGCTAGCAATGAATATGTACTTAATGAATACAGTAATTACATGTATCGCCCTCCTCTTGTTTCATAAATTAGCCCTTTAAAAAAACAAATACAAAAGAAGGCATGTAAATGTAATGGAATATCACATGTGGTTGGAATTATTAAGTTCCTCTTACTTAACTTATGTGACGCGTTATAAGATTATGATTTTGTAATGTAGATCTATTTATAACGGAATAACGCGGCTACCACGCAATTTTTCAGGTTCAGAGGCTGAGTTTCTTAATTATGACGAGACGGTTGAATGGGAATCACTTTATAAATTTTTATTTTTTAAAACGAGCTTAAAACAGATATATTTTTTGATCGAAAGAATGGTTTTACCTAAAATATAGAATACTTTAGGCGTGCACAACGGGAAGACGTCATTGTTTCTTCTCCTTAAAATTTGATAACTAAAAAGTTATCATTAGACATGAAGACTTATTAAATCAAGATTAACTCCTAAAAACTTTTTAATAATTTTATAATCTCAAAATTTTAAATTTAAAAAAAATCTTGTTGATTATTTAACGAAAAAAACAGATAAATAAGATTTAGTCTATCCATTTTATCGCATATTTATTAATATGAAATTTAATTATTATTAACCTCACATTCATAATTTTGTATAAAAAATTTCTACCCCAAAAAATAATATTAAAACTTTACTCCACATGTGGATAATATAAAAAATATATATATAATAATTTTAACTTAAAATCTCTTTTTTTAAAAAATAAAATTCTTTATCTTAAAAATATATATTACCCACAATAAATTTAATTATATGGAAAGCAAATCTTATAATTTATATCTTAAATGTTAAAATTACCAGAAATAATTAATGATTTTACCTCCTTTATCCCCCCCCCCCGTCTTCCATTCTCGGCAAATTTATGATTCCTATTTCTTTTTTTTTGACGAATATAACATTATTTTGATTCGCGCGCTTTTAACGTATTTAATTAATTCCATTTTAAATACAAAAAAACGTATTCTTCTAAGAGAACGAATTGTTTTACATCGGGCTACGACCTAAAGAATATCGAGAAATAATCGCCAAACAGAATCAAAATAAGTCGCAACATTTACTTCACGACGCCTCATTTTATTCCGTCCCCAATCCTAGTTTCTTGAATAAGACTCTTAACCCAGCCATTTTGGATAGATCTTCTCTTAATCGCGGTATTAAATTAAAATTAGATTTATATGCATTTTTTTATATATATTTTAGTTTTTATAAATACACCTCTTCTAGGTAGATAGAAAAATTTTATATTTTCTTTATCCTCCCGACCCGAACCGGAATTTTGGAATGGCGGTTTAGAATCGACTTATTATTTTGAAAATAGGCCTCAAACCGATTTTAAATCATATTCACAAAAAAGGGGCTGAAATTTATACAAGAGTAACCTTGAATTCATAGTGGCGCGTTTGCGATCGCGATTTAACAGCTGATTGATTTTTAAAATCTGTTTATGAGATCAATTTTTATTTATTAATATTAATTTTATCTTTAATTCAAATTTTAATAATAATCTAAGAAATAATGATTTTAATAAAGAATAATTGATCTCATAAACAGATTTTAAAAAAAAAGATTTTACAAAAAGCATTTTTAGGCGGTCCTAAATCTAATAATATAAATTAATAAATTTATTAATTTTAATGAAAAAAAATCATAAGCTATTTTTAATGTAGAAATAAAATAGTGGACTAAATCATTTTTTATAGTTTACTAAATATTATCATTTCTTTAAAATAATAGAAATAAATAAAATTTATCTTAAAATTTTAAAACTTATGAAATTTTTACGGAATAAAAAGTAATCAATATTAACTTATTTTTCAAATTAATAATATATCTACGTTTAGTTGTATCTTCAAATATTATATAATAAATAACTAATAATTGATTCACATAAATAGTGATGCAAAATCGCTCCATTTGAGCCGATTTTTAAAAACGACCAACACAATATTTTAGCCAGAAAATATCGACTGTCTCGAGATTTCGCTACTAGATGTCCAAGCCTTTGTGCCATCTATGAGCAAAATCTTCAGGCTTGCATAATATTTTTCTGGATAAATGACTGAGTTGGCCGTTTTTAAATCCTACTCGAATGGAGCGACGTTTTTAAATCCTACTCAAATGGAGCTACTTTGCATTATTACATATCAAGCATTTTGAATACTTTAATTTACAAAACTTTTAAAAAATTTTAATGGAAGATTTTGGTCATGTTTCATAATTTTATTAATTTTCAAAAATTTATAAATTTTCAAGTTTTTAAAATATTTTTAGGATACAGCCTTAGAAAAATTAAATATTTTTTATAACTAATTTCCGATGGTCATGCCTGATAGAATCGGGTAATGATAAGCGTTGATAATGATGATACAACAATTTGCTAAATATCAATCAAATTTGGACCCACCTATTTTTTAATATTAACGAAATCCACCTATTTAGCTTTATAAAAAAATAGTCCTAGCTAGATTCGAACCCAGAACTATCGGTTTAAGATACACGCACTTAACCGACTAGGCCAAAGATGCTAATCGAAATTAATTATTTTTTGTTTATAAGTATAAAATAAAATTACGACGTTATATAATATTTTAATAAACGCATAATAAAATTAATAGCTTTCAACGCCATACATCATTACCCGATAGAATCTTTATCCTGGCTTGTCGAATCCGCAAGGAATCCGTCTGTGCATATTATTATATACTATATTATGCCTTGTTTTAATCCATTTATAATCAAATAGAAAATGGCTCCAATACCTGTTTCAATGTTATCAGCTCCGAAAGTAACCGTAACCTTCACAATAATATGACAGATAATACGCTCGTTTTAAATGACAGCATCTCGATACTATACGACAAAAAGCATTCCAATAAGGATACTCAACGATCACCCGTCGAACAGAATTTAAATCTATCCAAGGAATGGCATCATCCTGTGTTGATTGAACTTAATCCTGGTATTTAGTAACTTTAATATATGGGTCATTCCATGTCAAATCGATCAAAAAAGGGACATTTTCGGCCGACCCCTTTTAAAATTGTTAAAAATTTCTGGAATTATTTAGGTAGGTATATAAATGAGAAAGCCATTTATTTTATCTCGCTAGCACACCTGGTTCCCGAGATATAGGGGTTCAAAAGTGCAAAAAAGAGCCACTTTGGAATATGGAAAATTTTTAAAATGCTTATATCTCAAAAACTATTAGTAAAAAAATGTATAATATATCATATTGTAGATAAAAAAAATCTCTAAAGTAGTGTTGTTAAATGGCTCGTTTTGAGCAGATTTTTTAAAACGGCTAACTCAATATTTTAGCCAGATAAATATTGCCTAAGTCTTGAGATTTCAATAATGTATGCCTAGACCTTTGTTCCTTCTATGAGCAAAATCTTGAGGCTTGCGTAATATTTTTCTGGACGAAATATTGAGTTAGCCGTTTTTAAAAATCGGCTCAAAACGAGCCATTTAACAACACTACTCTAAAGGTCTATCGAAAAAATAATAAAAATTGGCTCCAATTTGAGTCTTTAACTTCCGGTTTACCTTTCTTGTTTCACCTGTATTTTTAAGCAAAAAAGGGAGTTTTCGAATTTTTTTTTGCTTTTTATTTAGACACCTTTTATAAATATATATACGATGTCTAAACCTTGGCGACGCTATCGATTTTTCCGAAATATACATTTTTACCAAAAATTGAAGAAAAAAGTAGATGGCGCTAATGGTTGGAAAATATTATTCTTAAGGAAAATGGAAACATTGATACGTTTATAAGAAATGTGATGAAATTTTTCAGTTCTGCCCCTCTCCCCCCATTCCATCATCCTTAAAATGTTTTACATTTTTTAGATCTCTACTTTGCTACTATAGCGAATGACTTATTAGCTCGATAATGTATAACAGCTGCAGTAAAAACGAATATTTTATTAGGCATATTATCGATTATATTTTACAAAATAAACTGTTTAAAACGATCTCTCTTTCTGCGTAATATTTTTAACTTGTCCGTTCAGATTAATTTTAAATAATTCAACCTGTCTGCAGTTTATTATTTTATCGTCTGTCTACCAATAACATTCTGGATTTGGAGAGTGCAAAAACATATATTATAGGTGCAGATCAATTAAAATTTTATTCTATATCACAGATGGACGAACCAAATATTAAAATGTTCCAACCCATTTATTCTACAGAGACATGCTTATTATCGCAAGAATCTAAGAAAGATTCTACCCTGGATGACCCAGAAAAATTTACCATTCAATTTAGATATGTATGCTCTTCATGCCGACAAAAATTAGCAAACATTTCTTATACTTCAAATGAAAATATAGATATTGATTCTCCCCCTCATATAATTAATCAAGAGGCTATTGATAACATTAATATATCCCTACAATCAAATGGGGAATCTCTCATTAAAAGAAAACACTTATGTGAAAAGAAATATTCGAAGAAGAAAATATCTAGAGTAAAAAAAAGTTTTAACGACTAAAATTATACCATTATCTTCAGCAAAATATAAAAAATTCGATGAAATTCCAGATACCTTAAAAATGATATGAAAGATATTTATTATTGGAAATTTGTTTACCCACTCTGCTCCTCAGTTTAATTAGTATATTTAATAGAAACTCAAATTTTTAGTATAAAAAGTGAAAATATCCGGTTATTGATAAGTTAGCAGCAAATTTTTAACCATAATCCGTAATTTAATTAAGCGCCATATATTTTTTTCAACAATTTTTGGAGTCGATAGCGTAGGTTTTGATATCGTATATATATTTAACAAAGGTGTCTAAATAAAAAGCAATAAAAAAATTTCGAAAACAAACTTCCTTTTTGCTTAAAAACACAGGTAAAGCAAAATAAACAAACCGGAAGTTAGCGGCTCAAATTGGCTCCAATCTTTATTTAGCTCTTTAGAGATTTTTTTTTACCTACAATTTGATATATTATATATTATTTTACTATAAATAGTTTTTGAGATATAAGCATTTTAAAAATTTTACAGATTCCAAAGTGACTCTTTTTTTGCACTTTTGAGTCCCTATATCTCGGAAACCAGGTATGCTAGCGAGCTTAAATAAACGGCTTTCTCATTTTCTTAACTATCTAAATATTCCAAAAATGTTTAACAATTTTAAAAGGGGTCGGCCGAATCGTGATCGATTTGACGGGAATGGCCCATATGCTATATATTGTTATGGATAGGGAGGGACGTTAAAAAAATATGCCTAAAAATCATTTTTACGAAATTTTGAAACATTTCAAAGATAAATTTTCTTATAAAAAGAAATTTTAATTTGCAATAAATTCCTGATAGATTATATTTTCCTTAACCCTGTATTGCATACTGTGTATCTCATTCCACATACCACAAATTATATAATAAATATTTTATAAATAAATTTTAAATCAATTGCATGGTGTGTATTTGAAGCCACAATCCATATTTTCGATTCGAATGTTAATATGGCCCACGTGATCTATTATATATTTTTAATTTCGCATTTTATTAAACCCTATTTTTAAAAATGGCTATTTTTTTATAAAATTTTTCTTCTCAATTTTCTACACATCGTAAAAGGATAAATAATATATTTGACAAATTTCAAAACATTAAAATTAGATAAATAAAAGGTAAAAATTAATGTTTATGAAATTATTTTATATATATTTATTATTTTTGATAATTATGTTTTGTAATAATCATACGTGGTTTTAAAGACACATTATGCAAATAAGGTATTTTATTTGAGTTTTATATTTTTAGAATTATGAATTGTGGTAACATAACTAACGATAGTGAAGATTCAAATTTAAGTGAAACGTCTGATTTTGAGTTTCTATCAACACAAAATAATGATTTAGGTATATTAAAAATTTATGCTCTTATATAATCTATAAATATCTAGATTTCAATGGACAGATGAATCGGAAGAAATAAGAAAATATCAATAATGAAAAAGAAATTGTTAGGGGAAAAATGGTTTGGAAAAATTGCTTAAAAAATTTACCGTTAATTATTCCAAAGTGGAAAGGAGAAATTCCAACGGTTGATAAAGTTAAAAAACCAATGAATTATTTTAATATATATCTCAATGAATTATTACCTCTTATTGTTTACGAATTATGTGCCATTCAATGCAATTCCAATAAACCTTTGAATTTATCGAGATGAATTAGATAAATTTATAAGAATTATTTTTTATATGTCAATTATTAAACTTCCCAGAGCACTTCTGTGTACTGGGCCACTAATACAAGACAGGCCAAGGTGGCAGATGTCATGACCCTTAAACGCTGGGAACAAATAAAATCATTCATTCATATAAATGATAATGACAAATTTATTCCATTTGGAAGTGAAGGCCATGACCCACTTCATAAAATTAGACCCCTAATAACTCTAACCAATAATATACTAAAATCTTTATCTATAGGCTAAAACATTTGCGTAGATGAGCAAATTATTCCATACAAAGGGATGAGCAGGTTGAAGCAATATAACCCTTAAAAGCCCAAAAAATAAAACTATAAATCTACTATGCGGAGATGATGGCCTTCTGCATAATTTTGGAGTATATTCTGGGAAAATACTACCAGAAGAAGGATTGCCTGATGTTGGAGCAAGTTGCAATGCTGTGCTCCGTTTAATTTCTTATATACCGCAGCTAATCAATTATAAACTATTTTTTTGATAACTGGTTTTGTTCCCCAAATTTGCTAGTCGTACCCTGTATTGCATGCTATGTTAGAATGATTTTTTTTTGACAAACTAGATTTTTTATTTCTCTCGATACTATTGATAATCTCATGGCTCACTTTTTTAAAAAAAATTCTAAATTTCTTAGAAGATGAACGGTATGTATATTAAAATACACATTATTCAATTAAAGATACAAATTTCAATTTTTTTCACAATAATTTTTATTGTACTCTAAACTATAAATATATATAATTTTATTTAAATACAACAAATATTAAATGTTTAAACATATTAATTTTCATGAAAATCTATAAAACAATTATTTGTGGGCGTAAAACATAAATATACACAGCATTTTTTGCATAAATAAGCATCCTGGCATTTTACATCTACCCTTCTTATCATTATATTTGGGCCAATGAGCCGTGAGGTCTTTCCTAACCTCTTCATTTGCGAAATATTGGGCTGGTCCTTTTTTACATTTTTCCCGATAACCAGTTTGAACTAATTTTCGTTTTAGTATATTGTTTGAGGTGCATTTGCCATATTTGCAAAGGACTTCCGCCACCGAAATTTTGAAATTGTACAAACTTAATCGATCCTTGCGTGCTATTGATATACTATTACAATCACGTTTATATAGAAACCATGAATTTATAAGTAACATGTCAAATATATGAAATAAAATTCTATGGTACCATTTTCTTGATTTCTTATGAATTCTATATAAGGAAAGTAAAGAATCCATGACATCTACACCTCCCATTGATATATTATAAATTTTAACAATATTTGGACATTTTATCATGATTTTATCCTTTTTTTCCTATCATATCTTTCACAGTCTATTAGAGGATGTGCACCTACAAAAGTGCTTAATAAAGTCACAGCACGATTGTCGAGCCACTTCACTGAATTTAGCTCCACTCCGTTTATTAATGTTTTTTTTGAAACAAAAAATCCTCGCCCTTTTTTTTCAACTCTTTATCTTTTGGGAAGTTTATATTTGGAAGTCGATTACCTCTGACCGTGGCCGCGCAAAAATCCCTCTTTGAGCGAGTACGACTAGCAAATTTGGGGAACAAAACCAGTTATCAAAAAATTTATAATTAATTTGCTGCGGTATATAAGAAATCAAACGGAGCACAGCATTGCCACTTGCTCTAACATCAGGCAATCCTTCCGCTGGTAGTATTTTTCCAGAATATACTTCAAAATTATGCAGAAGGCCGTCATCTCCGCATAGTAGAAAACTTTATAGCCCCATTTTTTGGGCTTTTAAGGATTATATTGCTTCAACCCCTGCTCATCAATTTGTACGGAATAATTTGCTCATCTACGCAAATGTTTTAGCCTATAGATAAAGATTTTAGTATATTATTGGTTAGAGTTATTAGGGGTCTAATTTTATGAAGTGGGTCATGGCCTTCACTTCCAAATGGAATAAATTTGTCATTATCATTTATATGAATAAATGATTTTATTTGTACCCAGCGTTTAAGGGTCATGACATCTGCCACCTTGGCCTGTCTTGTATTAGTGGCCCAGTACACAGACGTGCTCTGGGAAGTTTAATAATTGACATATAAAAAATAATTCTTATAAATTTTTCTAATTCATCTCGATAAATTCAAAGGTTTATGGAATTGCATTGAATGGCATATAATTCGTAAACAATAAGAGGTAATAATTCATTGAGATATATATTAAAATAATCCATTGGTTTTTTAACTTTATCAACCGTTGGAATTTCTCCTTTCCACTTTGGAATAATTAACGGTAAATTTTTAAGCAATTATTCCAAATCATTTTTCTCCTAACGATTTCTTTTTCATTATTGATATTTTCTTATTTCTTCCGATTCATCTGTCCATTGAAATCTAGATATTTATAGATTATATAAGAGCATAAATTTTAAAAATAACTAAATCATTATTTTGTGTTGATAGAAACTCAAAATCAGACGTTTCACTTAAATTTGAATCTTCACTATCGTTAGGTATACCACAATTCATAATTCTAAAAATATAAAACTCAAATAAAATACCTTATTTGCATAATGTGTCTTTAAAACCACGTATGATTATTACAAAATATAATTATCAAAAATAATAAATATATATAAAATAATTTCATAAACATTTTTTTTACCTTTTATTTATCTAATTTTAATGTTTTGAAATTTGTCAAATATATTATTTATCCTTTTACGATGTGTAGAAAATTAAGAAGAAAAATTTTATAAAAAATTAACCATTTTTAAAAATAGGGTTTAATAAAATGCGAAATTAAAAATAAATAATAGATCACGTAGCCCAAATTAACATTCGAATCGAAGATATGGATTGTGGCTTCAAATACACACCCTACAATTTATTTATAAGATATTTATTATATAATTTGTGGTATGTGGAATGAGATACACAGTATGCAATACAGGGTTAAAGAATGTAGTAGTAATTTTTTTTTAAAACACGGAATCGTGTTTTTTTCCCGAAAAATTTCTTGCATTATGATAAATTATATTTTTTTATATTAGATAACACCGAGATCACGCACAGAAGTCCTATTATACATCATCTTATTTCAAACGTTATCGAAATTGGGTGCGAGTATCCTACCGATTCTGGCGCAATATACTTACAAGTTTTTTTTTTATTTTAATTTTCAAAAACCCTAAATTTAAATGTTATTCATTCACATATTCAATTTAAGCCTTTCTCGCGCAATTTAAATAACGAATCCTAAAAAAAAATAATATTTATAAATAGTTAAAAGGCGATGGGATATTTCCCAAACACTGTATTCTAACATCCACTTCCAACAATGTATATTGCACCCCGTGCAAGCCGGAAGCTCTGATATTCATTAACGGAATCTTTATCAGGGAAAGCACTTTACTCAAACCCGATTCGTGTATTAAATTTGGGATTAACCATTCTTTCAGATTCTTGGTTCCTAAATCTTCTCACGATAGCAATGGTGGAACACCTCGTTTAAGGTTATATTAGTTATCCCATTCGTTTTAATAAGTGGCGACGAAAGTCTTAGACTGAAACCGGGAGTATTGACTGAATTTCGGTTCTGAATGCTTGGGACCTCAGATCTGACATACGTTTTTAGTTAAATTTAGGAAACATTTTATACCATTTATCTTTTTAACATATAATAATATATTCAATTTCGATATTCTAATTTGATACTATATAAAATAAATTTATACCTCGCAAGTACCAAATCATTTTATTTTATATTTATTTAAGATAAATTTTACTTTTTATTTTATTGATTAATTAAAAGTATTATACTTTAAAACCCTGCCCACCATGCTTTCCCAACACTTATATAAATTTAAATGATTGGTATCTTATTACAGGATTAATTAGAACTCAAAACTACGAATCAATTACAGCCACGTTTAAATTTCTACCCCCCCCCCCTTATGAGTTTTTGACTGCATAACACCGCATTTATATTTTATGAAAAAAGGTTTTTTTTCACCACATATATTTTATATATTCGTTGATCAATGATGCAGAAATTATTCCCTTTCGTCTCAACAAAGTTTACCAATATCCCATAACAAAAGCTCGTCCAACGTCGAAGAATTAAATTATGATGATTCGATAAAAGGAAGGGCTCACGAAATAGATCATCACAAGCAATCTACCCTAGTAATATAATAATAAAAAATTTTTCTCCCCTTCAACGCTAACATTCTTTTAAAGAGGCATGTAGCTCATATTTCGAAACAAAAAATAACTATTTTTTATTTCAAATTAAATAGTTCTTATAAGATGTTTTTCCACCCTTAGAAAAACAAATATTAATTTTATGAAAGTGATAATTTTATTTACAAATTAGAGGTCTCTGGGCGGTAACTTGTACAAAATATTTTCTAGTCCAAAATTTAGCAAATTTATTTTTAGAATTGTGCACTCCTCGATAATGAGCCATGAATTTAAATCTTAAAAAGTGTAACATTCTAGAATATAGTATTTCTAATATTGTCTTTAAAATTTTTTTTTGTTTATCAGCAAGGATCTCCGTCACCTGCCTCCAACGTTTTTAAATTTCTGAATCACGTTAAGCAAAACGAAAATTTACCCGCGTTTTTAGACATATCTCCTGATGGTTTATAAAAATTATTTAAATATGATAAACTTTTATTTACTAATAACTTTTTAAAAAAACTTACATAAATTCATTAAATGAAAATGATCTTAGATTAAATCTTGATTCGGTTTTTTGTTTTCGCAGTTTTTTTATATTTTCAAAATTAGAATATTATTATACTATCGTTTCCTAGCTCATACTTATATATATATATATAAATTATACTCTTGATTATCTTTATAGTCACCGAAGATACCATCCTAAAAACCATATTCTTTCCTGCCGATCTACTCAAATCTCAAGAAGATGGAGACGATAAAAATGATTTGTCTCATCATCAATCGCAAGAACCTAATAACGCCATTTCTTTCGCTTGGAACTCTTCCTTTAAACTTTCCCCCGCCTATTTGGTCTACCTATGTTGTCGGCATTATTATTATACCTCGAAGAGGGTGGAATATATTCACCCTGCCGGTCATAGGCTCGAACCTTTTATGGCAAAGATGTGCCTCGTCGTTTCCTCTTGCATGGAAGTATTTATGAATATGATATATAAGGAGTTTCAATACTCATAATAGATAATTCAGCAAAATCTTTCTCTGTCATATAATACCATATTAAAATTTAAATTAGATAGAGAAACTCCTATTAATCGCAAAGATTTATTGGTACAATATCGATTTATTCTTAGACTGCCAAATATGTAGGATTAAAAGATTTATGCCATAAATAAACTTAGTGAAGGTCACATCGGTCTGGAGCCGATTTTCAAAGACCAAACCGAACCATAGACCAAAACCGAACTGGAGCGTGGTCTGGACAAGGTTTTATATACCTAAGAACAAAATATTATTATTACTATAGAAATAATGAAAAAATATAATTATTATAACATAAAATTGAATTTAATAGGGGAGACCGGGGTAAAACGATAGGCATTTTGCATATTTATCAAAAAAATTTTAAACAAAAGTCAAACACAACAAATTATAGTTCAATGTATAGCCCCATCCCTTATCTACTAGATAAAAAAAAGAGTAGCCCTCTACCTATAATATTTTAGGAGTTATGATTAGTTATGTCAAACTACTCATTTTCGCCATTTTACCCTGGGTACAGGGTAAAATGGATAAGCATTGGGGTAAAGTGGTTAAAATAATATTTGACATATATTTATCGTTTTATTTAACAAATATTACAAATTTAAGATATATTTATGATTTTTATTTACAAACTAATCAATACAATAAGGACATGTAAAGTAGTTATCATAATTAGCACATTTAGAATGCGCCCATTCAAGGCACATTGTACATTTTAACCATTCATCTATTTTTGTAGTTTTTATTGCAAATGACACATAAACAATTCTTTTTTGATATCTTTTTTTTTCTCTGAATAAATAATTTCAAATTTCAAATTAATTTGGTAGCTTTATTAGTAATGCTCAATTGAAATATATAATATATTTATTAATTAATACTCAATTCAAATACAAACAATATAATTTAATTATGTCTAGGCGTTAATCCCATAAATGACCAATCTAGATTCTTCTTTGTAATTATTTGTTTATGATCTGAACTTTAAATACCATTTTTATATCTTCTTCTCAATGTTGTATCAGGTATTTTATATTTTAGCAGACAAATTCAATAAAGTGTTATTGTTATTTTATATTTTATGGCTTCATCTATTATACTTACATCTCTGAATGTTGTTTTTCTTTTATAATTTCTCATTATTTGATTGATACAATAAAAATTATAATAAATGAATGAAAGAAAAATTTAATGTGAATAATTATATATTTTAACCGTTTTACCCATAACAGCTTTACCCCAAGGTGACATATATTATAAATATCGTTATTGCGTGACTTCTAATATAGCTATAGATGTCAGATAAATTTTATTTTATAGCTAATACATTAATGAACATGTGTGCCAAATTTTGAATCCTGAGGATATGTATATTTTACTAAAAGCAAAATATACTAGAGAATGATTTTTATATTTTTTGGGTAAAAAACAATTTTTTGACAAAATATATAAAACCAGGTAAGTTTTTTAAAAGATGAACATAGGTAAGAAATTAGATATAAAAATACATTTTCACACCAAATTTAAAATCATTGTGCTCAAGGGTTAAAAAGTGATTCGCGTTAACATTGTTACCCCGTCAATCGCTTTACCCCGGTCTCCCCTATTTCATTTTATGAATCACCCCTATTTAGCCAATTTTTTAAAAATACCTAAATCAAAGTTTTAGTCAAAAAGTTTGCCTTAGCCTTTAGATTTCGCCACACATGATAGATTATATCATTTTTTGATAATTTATTTTTCTTTTCTTTGTTACTGAGTCATCTGCTTTAGAAAATAATTGTTTAAATGGAACAGAAATTGTTTGTATTTAAAGATAACATAAAAAGTTTTTCTTGGTCCTGTTCAAACCAAATAGAACACCGAACCTATTCTAAAGTCTAAACCAACATGGTTTAATGTAGCCTTACAAAACTGGACCGTTTGCCTTCACTTCATGATCATTGCTGCAAAAAAATGATTAATTAGATGTCGTCATACTTTGAAACTCTTATTGGGATAAAAGAATCGCGGGTCACTTACGTGTTACCTTCATTAAAATTTGCTGATCTCCGGTTATCTAACGACAAATAATCATAATTAGGGCAAACTATTATGACTTATAATTAATCATTTTTTTAAACCTTAATATTGTTGTAATTGATCAGTCTAAAATAATGTTGTTGATAATACTAATACGCACAGTTTAATGTTTGTTCAAAATAAATTTTTTTTATTATTTCATCATGAAAGTTTTTTATACAAAATCTTAAACTAGATCAAAATTCTAAATGAGCAATCTCAAAAAAAAATCTTCAGATTTTCAAGGAAAATTTCTTTTTAAAATATTAAACTGCTATCTATTTATGCATAAGTGAGCAAAACTTTTTTTAAAACAATTTATTGTTTGCCCTCAAATTTATTGATATTAATAACAAAACTTGTAGAAATTTCACAAATCATTGACAATTTTTTTTAATTTTATTTGAAGTCTCATCGCGACAACCCCATCATACTAACCTTTTGGACAGCTAACTTATCGGAAATCATATATTGCTTGACCAAAGATAAGGGGCTCATGCCCTTTCTGACTCCACAAACTCAGAATATCCTAAAAACGTGCATGATTTCAGCGTTTAAATACCTTACTCGTAAATTGTGCTTAGACATCGCTACCCTCCTGCCCTACCTTTTTCAGCCGCCAAATAATGCTGGGCTTAATAATAATGGCCAAAGTTCTAATTCTCTTATCAAAGACGCGAATAGTAGTAGCATTGTCAAGGAATATGATGAACCGTTTATCCGATCCTCTTGCTGTAACTTTTTTTAGCCTCTAAAAAAATAGGATTTTATATTATCGATAAATAGTCATTATAAAAAAATTAAAACTATGATATACATTTATTAAAAATATAGAAATATTCAGAATTGATAAATAGACGATAAAAATTTTTTAATGCACAAGCTTATGAAATATCCCAATATTTTGGAAATTTTATTTTGCAATGCTCGATTTTTGACTAGCTATCTTTTAACGTTAGGCTCTAGAACGCCATGATATGGAGCCTTAGACTTATATTTCAATCCTTTTTTTAAAGCTCCCCTCCTCAAAACTTTGACATCTCTTATGAACATGCTAAAACAACACCGTCTTAACGCCTCCATAACCATTCAAATATTCACCCGCATATTTCAATTCGTTGAAGCTTGGACCATCAACTCGATATTTAGCCATTCTTGTGCGCTATATTTCGGTTCGTCTAACCACATGGGACCAGTTCTTAGGCTTAATTACAATCAGGGTCACAACACTCATTGCAACGAAACTGATATCCTTCTAAATAATTTTCCTTATTCTAGAGATTGGGGAAATATATTGAGCTTTAGGATCGAGGAGATTTATAAATGGTCGGAGATCCACGGCTTAGAGCTTTCAGCTGAGAACCAACTTGTTAGGATTGTTCAGGTGAGATAAAACTACCGAAAATCTTCACCCTATTTTTAGAATTTTGTTGTTTGAAATGCTATCAAATTTAACAACAATCTAGATTAATTTTTTTTATTTTATGAAAAAACAAAGATACTGAAGCTTCTTAAGATGCCCAAATACCACTTGCAAGATTTGCCTCAAATAACTTCTACGTGCTTTAATTTGAACTCCTTGCAAATCTACACTATAATGACGAATTATCGATATTCGCCCGGGGAACCCCTTATTCCTAATGTAATTTCATTTTAAAAAAATCATTAGATGCATCATTATTGCCAAACTCTAAAAATTTTATTTTTCTACATATAATTTATTTGCAGGAACTGGTGGAGAGGGTTGTCAACATAGCTCACAACACAACTGACGAATTACTTAAGAGAGAAACTACCTGTCCTACCATTGACCCCGTCAATCTGTTAATCAATGATCCTTATTGTGACACACAAATCATGAAAGGAGACAAAGATAAGGAAACAAACAATGACTCGATTGACAAAGAAATAATGGATGGCAAAGTCAATTTCATGTTCCCCGAGGATGGATTTTCTTTTGACGCTGTTAAAAATGTGCCGGGTGGTCTTTTAGGATTAATTCAACGATTCTTGACCGAGAAGGGTTTGGATTACATCTACGTTTCATTATATTTAGCTGTTAAAACATCTCGATTTTCCATTGGTAGTTATATGAACTCGTGGCAAATATGGGATCCTTAGGGATTCAAAAAATCTCGATTAAATTACATTTCATTGGGGTGATTTTTGAATTCGATTATTAGAATACAACACTGGATTTCAGACAGTTTTGACGTGAACCTTTAAACTTGACAAAATTGTATGAAATTTACAATGTTAGATACTATATACATACAAGCTAGAATACACTTCCACTTAAATCAGATTTTTAAAGAACATTTAATTTCATAAGAGATTCCAAAATTCTTATGTATTTCCATAACCCATTACGATAAATATACTATATCATCATTTTTTGCACCATACCATTCCAATTGAACCATATATATCTTGTTATTGTTTTGGGAAATAATAAGTATTAGACCAGAAAATGGCAAACAGGTTGTAGAAATAATTTGATTTAAATCACACCAGAACAGCATAGCAAATAATTTTGGATTGAATTGTGCAAGCTAAGATTTCAACTCCCTACCCTTTTGTCTACCTTTCTCACGACCATTTCAGAATGTTTAGATTCCGAATGTTATGATAATATTAATGTGCACTAAATCCAAATATTATAAATTTTCAGAATTTTAACCATCTTATGATTTCCCATTTTTTTTAATTTGTAGGATTAGCTCAATTAATTATTTTGCCACCTACTCTTAATCGCGATGGTAGTTGGAACGTTCACTTCAACTCCAGAAGTTCATTTAATCTGTCTGACATTTCTCTCATATCCGCTACACACTATCAAAAAGTATATATTTATATATTATTTTTTGAATATATGAATTTTTTTGAAAGGCTTTTTATCAATTAATACAACCAAAGTTTGAAAAAATCTTCGCCATTGTTGTTCGCCTTTCGAAATTTGAATTATTGATTAAATATTAATTAATTTTTTTGTTTAGGAACATCTCAACTCGGATTCGGATAAGCAGGATTTTAAGCTTGATTTAAGTTTGTCACCACAGCTTAACCTCGCTAACGTTAAAACAGTGACAATAACCAAAACTGACAAATGTCTTGGACTCAGTATTGTAGCTGCTCAGGTATATACATATAAATAAATTTTAAATTATTTTTAGACATGGATAATAAACATTAACTAATAATTGCATTTATTATTTTTTAATAATGCTTGCAAAAATTAAGATCATTTTTTTAATGTCATGCAAAAAAATATATTACCAACAAGTTTTGGAGTTAATTTTTTACGTTTTATTTATGTCATATTTGTTAATAAACTCATAAAGGTGAGTATAGATTGCAAGTTATGAAAAAATACATAAATATATAAAGAAAAGAATACAGAATTTCTTAAAATTTCAATTATTTGCATTAGTATTTGATTTTAAAACGTTGATTAATTATGTTTATAAGTTAATTTTGCATATCCTACATATAATTTTAAAAAAAATTTAATATACTAATGAATGATGATATATCAAATCTTAGAAACTTAAACTTTGAGGCATGTCTAAAAGAGATATTTTAATTTATAAAATTTAATTGTCATTTTTGACTATCGGACACGAAAAGTCTGTTGAAAGTTAAAGTATCAGCTGATATTGATACTTAGAATAATATTGAATATTTTTGAATTTGAATAGGAAAGAATTATATTTATTTGTTTAAAACATTTTTCAAAAAAGACCAAGAAATGTGTTTTAAAAAAAATGCTTAATAAAACTGTTAAATATTCTTTATTTATACGATTTCGCCGGAACCTAAAATTTAGACACTATAAACAGCAAATACGTTTCGGATTATAAATTGTTGTAAATACTTATGTTTTTACAGTATTCGTTTTTTTCCTCTTATATACCTTATTATTTAAAGCATTTTTTTTTAAAAAATGATTATTTGTAAGAAAAAAATGAATTAATTAATAATTATAATATGTAAGACTTAGTAAGGATGAATCAAGGAAATATGATACTACCTTAGACTGACAATGTATTCATAAAAAATTTGTATTTAATACAAATCAGCTGAGGACACGCCATTTTTGATTTCCTATATAAATAATTTACTTTACAATCTTATAAAAACTTTATATAAAAAAAATTCCGAATTTGAAACCAAAAATAGCGTATCTTCAACTGATTTGTATTAACGACGCTTCAAAATGCATTTTAATTAATGGAATCGGCAGTCTAAATTAATATTATGCTTTGCTAGGATGAAACCAGGGTTGGGCAGGATCACAAATACTTGGTATCTTTTTGGGCTTTTTTGAAAAAGTATCTTTATCTTAAATACTTTTTAAAGATGAGTATCTGTATCTTTAACTATTTAATGTGCAAAAGATACAAACAATTTTAATTTTCAATATTATTTGATATATTTAAAACTTTTATTTAATTTTAAAATTCAAATATTTAATTTAAATCCAAGTAAACTATTAAACATTTGTTAATATAATAATCATAATTGTAATATCTTACATTATTCACCCTATATGAGAAATATATTAATGAAATAAAAATAAATAAAGTATTTTGTTTGGCATTGTCATAATTTTTTAACACAATATCCAAAAATATAAGGTTTCACATTATATCAATTTTTTTAACCTATCTTTTTGAAGTATCTATAAAATATCATTTTTCAATTTTTTTATCAAGTATCTATAACTGTTTTTGAAAAGTATCTTATATTTGTATCATAGATATTTATATTTAAAGAACATTTATATCTGTATCCAGATACTATTTTAAAAAAATTCCCCATCTCAACCAATAACAAAATATGCGTTGAAAAGTTCAAAATAGTCTTCATTTTTTAAAAATTATTCATGTATCAAAAGTATTCTTTAATATTTAATATCTCGTGGAAATTTATGTATATTTTTTTCAAGTCTATACAAGAAAAGGAAATTATGATTATTTATTACTCGAGATTGACTTATATAACAAACAAAACATGCCTCAGAGCCACAAACTTTCGTTTTATAAAAAAAAATTATTTATTCTTGTTTAACAAATTTATGTTAATGAAATATTTTTTATTTGTTTTTTTTGAAGCAGATAAAAGTAAGCGAAACGTTAAAGACCTACACGAGTCTCAAATTCTTTGCAAAAAACTATATTTATTCTTGTTTTAAAAAAAACATTGTGAATCTTATAGCTAAGGAAATCGTCGTTACATACAACAGCTGATTTTAAAAAAAATTATATTTATTAAATAAAAAAATGATTAAATTTTATTAAGAACCAATTTAAACTTTTTTTTTTATAAAACAATATTTTAATCTTAATACTAATTCACATCTCCTTTAATCCTACTTCTTATTTCATAGCTTTAAATAAAATTTTTAACCAATTTAAAAAAAATCTTTTTCATTTGAACATTCCTTGAGTTGAGCTATTACTATTGCTATTAAATAATTCTAGCTGAAATAGGCCTTAATTTAGTATTTAGGACAAAATTTTAGGTGGGGCTCGGTCTTGACTATCAAGTACAAACCTTTCTTAAAAAAGATAAAATCCACTATGGTCATCTTTCGGGGAAAAATCAAATATCAATCAACTATTGATCACACATGATGACATTTGGGAGGGGCTAAACGGAGAATAAATTTATTATGAAACAAACTACTATTTTGAAGAACATATGATGAAAAAATATGAATATAAAGGCCATTCGTGAAGCTTTAATTTTTGACAATGAATCATATGTAAAACAAAACAAAAGTTTTATTTAACATTCATTTTTTAATTTGAAAAAGGATTAATTCGAAATTTTAATTGATTCAATATGGTGGTATGTTCATGTATGAGACATGCAATAACAATGCATCCTCGAAAAATAATGTAATGTCATTGAATTATTTTTTTTCTTTAAATATTGAAAATTTTTCTAAATTTATTTCCTTTTTGCCTCATGTTTCAAACTGTAATAAATGGAAGACAACGAGTCACCAGATTGTAAAATATCTCGATCTTCAACTAAATACTTATCAATGAATTTTTAAATTATTGAGTACCATCATATAAATCTAAAAAGTGTATTAATAAATTGGGAGTATTTCTACTCTTGATTTGTCCGGTAATTCGTTATGGGTAATGCTATATACGTCGATGAACATTTATCAATTTACTTAAGCAACGACCAAAACAATTTTAATAGAAAAAAATATATATTAATCAACTTTTTAACATACTCCTAATCTCATCCAAGAACTTTCAGAAAAATAGCCCTGTCGAAGAGTGATCGGGGGAGGGGGGGGGGGTGTCATAATTAATCAAAAATCGATAATGCCTACCATAAAATTTTTGTACATACGAAAAAATTTTCAAGACATTTTAAAAAACAGCCTTATTCCGAACAAATTTTTTTTATTTGTCCCGAAAAGCCCGACCCAAAATTTAAATTATTTGTCTTCCCCCAATTTATTTATTATATTATAAATTAATTTTATTAGAAAGATATAGCCTTACATTTTTACAATCAAATTTTTAATCATTTTACAAACAAATATAAAATAATATTAGCCCCTTCTTTTTCTTGCAAAAATTTTAAATATCTATTTTATTTCAAAATTTAAGATTTTTTATAAAATTATTAGGCCCGAACCTAATTTTTTTAAATAAGCTCGATCGGACCATATAATTTTCGATCACTGAACCTTGAGTAACATGTAATACTTTGTCTGAATTTTTTTAAAAATACATATAATAAGTAATTATAAGTATCCCTACCCGAAAACCCACGAAACATTTATTTTTTTAATGACTCTTAAAAAATATATAAATTTAATATTTTATGAGTTTTTATTAAATTTAATTACTCATCACCCTAATTGTACTAGTATGTTTTTTTAATAGTTTAAAACGTATTTTTTGCTAAGCTAAAAGTATAAATAGGTACTATAATTTTAATTGCACCTATTATTTCGTATAAAATAGAAGGGAGTACAAACATTATAAGAACACATTTTCAGCTTCGTTTGCAATTTATTTCTTAGATAAAAATAAAAATTTTTTTAGACTTAAAATAAGTATTGTTAAATTTCTTGATTTAGCATTTTAAATCAAGATTTTAGCCAAAATAATATTACGCAAGCCTCGAGATTTCGTTGATATATCCACATCTTTCTGCCATCAATGAGTAGAAAAAATATCCAGGCTTGCGTAATATTTTTTGGCTAAAATATTGAGCTAACCATTAAAAAGCAGGCAAGCTGCCGTTTAACATATGCTACTTAAAATACGCTATTGTTGAATTTAGCCATTTAAATTATTTATTTTTTTGTAGACAAATTCATGATTATTACTACAATTTAATTATTTATACTTGGAATTTAGATAAAAGCTAGAAAAAAAATGTAATTTGATATAATAAGTCTCAATTTTTTTAAAGAAAATTTTAAAAAGAAAATAAATTATTTTTATTTATAATAATTATATGTCTGTATTCTTCAATCGCTTCGAAAAAAAAATGTTTTTTTTACTAATAAATTAATTGTCGCTCGAATTAATCATTTTTATTTCATAAGTAAAATAAAAAATATGAAAATTATGAAAAAAAATGCATTCATTATCTCGGGGCTTTCACATTTTTGTTTTTCTAGCTTTTTTATCATTATAATCCCATCATTATTAAATAATAATTTGTTAATTTTTTTAAAAAAAATAGTGCTTAGCGTACTTCCCCTTTATTCCCTTTATCTTTTCTAAAATAAATTTTTTTTAAATTTTATAAACGGCCGAAAGGTTTAACTAAATATTTTTTTCCAACGAATTTTATTACGATACGAAATATACTCCTTCTTGGGAATAGAAGCAACTTGCGCATATGTGGGCCAAAGTTTTAGATCTAAATTACGATTTAGACAAATTATTCTTTGACATGTCGAGTCATGCCTTCAAATCCGATTTTTGGAACCATAAATCACATTTTTCGAACGGACCTTATGATTCGGGAAATTTTTTAAATAAATCCAATGATTTTTCGTCGAATTCTTCCAGTTTAAATGCTGAATCCTTTTTTAACAATCGTAATCGGCGGGATCCGAATCACACATTTACACGCCAAGTGATTCGTTATTTTACTCTGATGAAAGACAAATTACGTGGCAATAATGGCAAACTTTGTAAAAACGAACGTTTTCAATACTTTCGATGCGACAATCAACAGCTCAATTTTGGAAGGGAAGATCGGTACACCGAAAATTATGGACAAAACGTGTACTCACAGCAGGTTAATCTGCCTAATCAAAAAGTTGAGTGTCAATCGTACATGTCATCGGCTCAAGCAATAAAGAAATTGCATTTACAATGCATGGAGAAAAATGAGTGTAAAGATGTTCGCTCCTATTCGGAAACCCGGGTTGGCCATGTCAATTATAACGGTGGGTACAGCAATATACACGAAGTCCCAACGCAGGTGAACGCGGAAGGATTGGCTAATACGCAAAAGGTACCTCTCTTCACCCACAATATTTTCGGACACGGTGAAATATCAGCTATTCAAATTAGTAGTCGTAATTATAAAAAATCTAACCAACCACCAAACCGTTTAAAAATTGAAAGCTATTTATCCGACAATCGACAAATGAGCCTACATGAACAATGTTTACCAACTACCAATTATGGCGCTAAAAATGATCGTCAGACATCAAAAAATACGATATTATCCGAAAACAAAATACATAGTTCTATATCAGCTGATTCGGATTCATTTATACTGGCTCCTGTATGCAAAGACAAGGTAAATCACTGCCAATTATCGAATATTCCTATTCCCGTACATTTTGTCAAAAATAAGACTCATGGTAAATTTAATTATAATAACGATATCATTAATTTTCCCTCCGTTTTTGGTAATAATTCACCAGATATCCACGGTTTAGCATATCGGCCAGAATATATACCAATTCCTGTACAAATAATTAATGATAGGGCCAATCGCGACAAATTTTTTCATTCGCCTTTTAGTCCCGCTCGCGTAACCAAAAAATCGCGTTTAAATAACTACTCTCTTAAACGTTCGCAGCCAACAAGTAGACCACACAATTTCAAAAAAAATTGCTGCCAGGTAAAAAGTACCATCCCAATAATAGTCGAGCCTGATAGCGATGTTCTTTCTTCGAACGAAAATATCAATACATTAGTGTCGCGAAATGTTCCTGCCTCATCGCTCGAAATTAAAGAAATAGTTAACCCTTCACGTAATAAGCATGCCGACAACATATTGCCCGACACCTTGTCAGTCCCCAATTTAAATTCTTCTACGAAAAAATCGAGAAATGGAAGTCTACGGGATAAATTTTGGGGTGAGACGAGCAGTTTTTCCGAATTTAATCACGAAGGAAAGGTGAAAAAAATTTTCGGTTTTTATAAATCGACCAAATCTTCCTTAACTAACCGAGCGGCATTCGAAAAAACGCGAGAATCATCTCTCGTTAATAAGACGAGTGAGATTCAACCAAAGCTACTCATAAGATACCCTAATCTTAAGGCATGTGTTATCGACGAAAATATTTATGAGAAAGTCGATAAGTTTCAAGATCACATGTACACCCTGCCGCTCAAAATAAGTCATTCGGAAGCATCTCATAATAACTCTCAAAAAAATTATTCGAATGCGCGTTCTAGCGTGATCGGAGGTTCTTTTACAGACGAAGATAGCTCGGATTTTAGTTCCATTACGAGCGTATTATCCGTTTCAGATTGTAATCAGCCCTCGCCTAGTAATCAGCCCTCGCCTAGTAATCAGCCCACCTTAAAACGCAAGGATTCTCCCGACAATATATCTTGTAATTCAACTACCGTCAAAATAACAAACGAACATAATAAAAATTTTTCGCCCTCTAAATATCAAAATATTGACCAACAAAGTTATATTACTCAATCTGTCATAAAAAATCTTAATATGGATGTTATTAAAAGTGACTGGAAGCCAAAACCTGTTATCAACTCAAACATTAAATCCTGGCTTGATAATAACCAGCGCGCGCCTTTTTCTAAAGAAGAATACAAATGTCATATGTCCAACTGCAAGCTTTTCACCAGCACAGATGTCAAGAAAATATCCTGCAATTTGAAGTACTTGGAGGCAGGAGATTTATTAATCCCCCCTCGTTTAATGCCATCTATTCAAAAGAAACCCGTTACCAAAAAACCCTTATTTTCTAATGTTACCGTGACAATCAAGAAATCAAATAACTCTTTTTCTCATTTTTTTATACCCGTTATATGTCGATAAAAACTTTTTTTACACGAATTCTCAAATCTTAAATGTTACTTATAATATGTCAATCGTTAATTTGTTAATCATAATTATTGTAATTTATAGAATTTAATATAAAATATGAAAATTATTTTATTACCTAGGGTGTTTCGTATGATATTTTGGTCTATATAAAAGAAATATTACAACGGCTGATTTATTTAAATTTATATTCGTCTATTTATAATCACATGACCTGTCAGTATAACATTATTTTACCTATCCCATATCTCTCAAACCTTTAAATAACCCTAACTCATATCTCTAACCTTTAGTCACACTATTTTTAAAAAATTTCCTTCAGTTAAACAATCCTTGAGTTGAGCGATAATCGTTACGTATATATAATATAAGCGGATAAATTTTAACTTAAAATTCAGCGGCTTCTTTTAGGAGCGAGCGAAATAGAAATTATAATTTTCATTTTTCTAAATTATCTATTAAGTTAAATATTATTTAAGATATTATGTCAAATTTATTTTATATAATAATTATTTTAATTTTGTAACATCGTCTACTTGTATCGTGAGTGAAGCAGAAAAAATATTCAAATAACAATTTCAACTTCCAATTTACATAATTTATACATTTTACAACTTTAATAAAAAAAAATTTATCAAAAATAATGTTTAATTTCATCAATACCACATTTTTATTCATGAAAATGCCCCGAGAGCCTATCCCATGTTTTTCACGGTTTATATAATCAAATCTATGATATATACTGTACCTTAAGAACAATTATAATAAATATGATCTTGTAAGAATCCTATATAATGAAAAGTTAGACTATCCACAAGATTTACATCATCCATCCATGTATAGAGATACGTTTTGACTATGGCCGGACATTTTATTAATATCTTATCTCATTATTTTTTTCTTTATCAAATCTTTCGGAGTCTACAAAATGGGTTATTATGCCCCCTCCCTTTTCTTAATTCCTTATTCTTGGTTATCATTTATTTTAGTAGGGCATCTATCTTAAACTCATTCCCGTCCACAAATAAATTTATAATTAAAATATTAGTGATTCATTTGAGCTAAACCCACTGGATAGTTAATTAGCCGTTTTGTTCAATTAAACTGAACTTATATTTTTTTTCAAGCACACTTAAAATGATTTAATAACTTATATGACTTATGGCCCATTTTATTTTGTGTTAATATTTTTCTTTTTTAAACACATCACAAAACTCCTGTGTGTTATCCCTTAGACTTCTCCCCTCTCAGAATTGGGTATATACGTCAAAGCCGTTGTTCGTGGGGGTGCCGCTCAATTAGCAGGGGCGCCTAGCGCTGGAGATCGAATTTTGACGGTTAACGGGATTTCTTTGATTGGTGTTGATGAAGAAATCGCCGCGAAAATTATGACACGAGCCGGTCCTGTTATAACCCTTAGTTACGTTAGGGATGCGAGGGGTCCCAGTGGATCCATTCTCAATGGTAGTATAGCAGGCGATGATACGGCTGCACTGTCTCCCAGATCTGGGAGAGGTACTTTTTATTTTATCCATCTTATTTAAACCTAAAATAAATTTAAAAATTTTGGCTTATAAACAAGAGTTTGTTTTGCTCTTTAAAAATAGATGATCTCTGACTGTTTTTTGAGAAAGCTTCAACATCATTTAATCAAATTTTACCTAAAATTCCAAATATTTTATAAAAAATCTTTTGTGATTTTTATACTTAAAAAATATCTTTCATGATGAAATCACCAATTTTTTGGTCTTTGAAACAAAATCAAAATCTTCCATTTTATGATCTTTAAAGATTACATGGGCAAAATTCTTTTTTTAACTTGATTAAAATCTTTTTTGTGAGTCATTTTTTTAGGCAATTTCTTATTGTTGATTTCTCGTTATCCTCCTTTCCAATATTTTTTTAGGTTCAAACCGCGCCTCTTATCAATACAATACTTTATCGATTGCCAATGGATCTAAAACTACTCAACAACCCATCATGAACGATCATTTCGTTTACTCTTCCCATTTCAACTCATCTTACGATTTAAAACAATCATCGGCTACGCTACCTCCCAAATCTACCAGACCACTATCCCACCATATCAATGTTAATAGCCCTCAGCCTTATAAGATTAAATTTAGTAACGACAGGGTACAGTTTGGTCATCAATCTAATCCTAATAATAATAATAGTAGCGACTTGATCGCTCAAGGCAAAATGAATGCAGGTTTCATGAACACCTTAATGACGAATAGCCTTAGTATTAACGAGTCGTCACATTTAAAATCCAATATTACCGCCAATAGTTCGACGAGTAAAGATTTCCAGCCTCCTATTGGTTCTTACCCAATATTCGCTAACAGTCCAATCAGTTTCAACAATAATAATAACTCTCCTATTCCTTACTCCAAGCCTTCATTCACTTTCGCTAACAATCATAAAGTTTTACCTCTTGGTTACTCGCATCGGCATACCAAGAGCTACAGCCCAGCGATAGATAATCAACATCCGAGCGTGAACGCGTCTAAGTAATTTTAAATATATTTTAAAGAAATATTGTATATATTTTTTTTAAATAGAAATCCGCCATATGATTTAGGAAATTATCCTTGCATTAATTATGGCAATAATTATTATAAAGTGGCCGTCCTTCCTTTTTCGATCGAATCGGAAAACGCATCATCACCGTCAACTTTAGAAAAAGGTAAATATTATACATACGGTATCGCTTTTACGTAACGCGTTTTCTTTCAAATTATAGGCCTTCAAAACCACTCTGGTATTTCTTTATCCAACCTAACTTGTTCGAATATCAACAACGAAGCTGTAATTAGGAATTCCGGTAAACCAATTCCGCAAGATAATTACATTGGAGCCAAGCAAAAAATTCTGTTTTGTCAAGAAATGATGAGTAATAAATTAATTTATATATATGTTAGCGTCAAGTTCAGTAGATATGTTATTATTTCAACCTTAAGTCATTTTCTGAGCGCATTGGAGAAAACCTACACTATGATTTAGAAGATTTTGTTATGAACTTTTGAATATAATTTATATGGTTTCCATATTATGTAAATTATAAATAATTCAAAATTTAATGACAAAAACAATGTGTAATTTTAAGGTAGAGACTCTAAATATGTTGGAATAAATTTCCGGTAAAATCAGATTTTTTGAAAACACCCTCAAAATAGGATTTAAGGTTGATAGAATTGACATTATACACTAATTTTTTTAGTTAGCGTTATAATATAACGGCTTCTTCGTTGTAAACCAGAAATTTAGAGCACAAAAATACCGGAAAAGTTATGAGTTTAAAATCAATTAATTCTCGCCATTACTAAATTTTTTTTAGGTTTTTTTTATGATGAGTACATTCATTAATTGATATCTCTTTAAATATGATATTAAGATTTGCAAACTCTTCTTGTATCCCTACATCTTGTTTGTTGAACATTTCCAAGAAAATTTTTAAAGTAAAAGTTTTAAAAAACAGCTTTGAGCGTAGGAATATTTTTAAATAATATACTACAATATTATTTAATGCTTTTTTTGATACGCAGACGAGTTGCACAATAAAGGAGATTTAACGCACGAGGAAAATGAGAAACTGAACGCCCTCATTATGGAATACGAATTTCAAAAGAGGGTTTTGGAAGAAGAGGAGATGTCGGAAGACGACGAAGCCAATCGATCACCCGATAAATTATTCAATCAAAATGGTTAGGGCTGCTAATAATATATATAATTTTTTAAAATTTTCTATCAGTAAATATTTAAATAAAGTAACCCTGACCGGAAAATAAATAAATATATAATTTAATTATGTGAAATAGTGCGATCTAGTTTCTAAAAAAATGCTATGCTATAAATTCTCAAATATATATTTTTTTACAATTTAAGCGTATGTTAAACAATTCTTTATCCCTGAAAATGGACAAAAGATCGATGATTTTCCTTATAATAATACATATGAAAATTCGGCGGACAACAATATTCAGTTAAATTAACACAAATTTTTGTATAATACCACTCAGTAAAAAAAAATATAGTAAAATAGTGTGTCCAAATGGAAGAATTTTATGCGAAAAATCTATTTTCAAGCCCTGCCCGAATTTTTATGCTCTGGCCATTTTATTTTGAGAAATTTTATAAATTGCTACGATGGGAAATTGTAAATATATTATATAATTTTATTTTTTTTATAAATATCGGCTCGGATTTTAAAAAAATTTGACTAATAAGGACCAAGTTCCTATCAGAGGCAAGTCCTTAATATTACATATGATAAATGATTATTCAATTTAATACCACTTAAAACTCATGTAAACATTTTATTTTTCAGATTGCCAAAGATCGAAAACTTAGATTTATCCATTAATGTCAAAAACAACGAAAGGAATGATCACAGTTCCGCCAATAAAAACACCACCCCTAATTTTAAACAAGTATATATATATTTTTTTTTATCGGACTAAAATAATTTATGATCTGGTTCAGACTCGGAGATCTTACATATTTTTGCTTCGTTTTCTTGGTGTTAATCATAAATATATTCTTTTAGAAAAAATCCCGAAATTTGTTTTTTCCTTTTTGTCGAAAAATTCCACTATTAAAAAAAAAAAATTTCTCGAATCACATTAGGCTCAAAGCTATTTCGGCTCGGATTTTGTTGATTCTGAAATAAATAGTTCGGGCGCACGAGGGCTCTAGTTGTAAACGTTCTCGTTTTTTATAACTTTTTTGCATTTTGAATCGTTTTATTTAAAATAATAAAAAAAAATAATTTCCATCTCAAGCCATCATCCTTCGAATACGATAATAACATTAATTCAGCCAAAATATCTGTCAATCAATCAAAAACGAATATTGATACTAACCTGAATAAGCCCAGGCCCCCGGACCGATCCTTCGCTTCCTTCAATGCTACCAATTTTATCCACGAAAATTCGAGCCTAGGAAATGACGATAATCTTGCCGGTAATATCCATTTCACCCAAAAAAATTCGGAATATCAACAGGGTTTTAACAACTTATCTTACACTCCGCTCATTCAATATAACCATATGAAGGACACCTTGAATCAAAACGAAAATAATAGCTCTAATGTGTTGAAGGCGCCGCAATTTAAACAAACCCCCGTCGTCACCAATCATGACATTTTTAGTAATTATACTCGCACTAAAAATCTTCAGGATATCAGTAACTTATATAAACCCGACCTGCAATTATCATCGCACCTTTTTAACAGTGAAGGAGAACGAGGTTTTTATAATAAAATCCTTATTATTTTTTTGTGCGTATTTATAATTACTACCCTCCCCCACCCCAATTCTAAAAATTTCCTAAAAGCCTTTTCATTTAAAATATATTAAGGCCCAACTCCCAACTCGAACAATAACAATTATACCCCCGGGGTCATAGGGGCCCAGGAGGTTTACTTAGATCCCCGAGTTAAACTTCAAATGATGAAACAAAAGCAACAACAGTTACATCACGCCGATAAGATGATAAATGCACCTTTCAATGACAACGAATCTCGCTCGTATACGAGTGATCATTACAGTAATTATCCTTCCTTTTTTGGATTACTTTTGTTTATTTTAATTTTATTTTTTAAGCATTATTAATTATTCTATTCTATACAAAATTAATACAGCTAAAAAGTCTCATTCCCCTACCAAACAATACAATACTTCTCAATTTAATAAAGACACGAATATAACCATACCTGGCAACTCTAATACTATATCAAATGTCAATCAAAGCGATATAAGCGATCCTTCAAACATGATCGAAAACGACAATAATAGCCCTGAAAGGATGAGTTTTCGCGATAAAATGAAAAAGTTTGCTCAGGTAGGTTATTTTAAAACTTTTTATTCTTACTATAAAGTGAAAAAGTAACACGTTATCATTACTTTGCAAAAAAGTAACTGAACTGACGTTACTTTTTTTACAGGACCTCATAATTATATTTTACAGTACTCTACTCATAATTGTAAAACATCGATTTTTCCATATCATTTGGATTTAGTGGGATTTAGAGCTTTAAAAGTAGTTTTTATCACCCTCAAACAATCATATTTATTTTGTTTTTGATTTTTTCATTTAATAAAGGTATCAGCTTCCAATAATCACTTGATCCCTTCGCCTTATTATGGCTGTGAAGTCGATAATAACCAACTATCAGACCCCGCTGACCTCTACCATATTAATCAAAATGGTAATAGTCTCTACTCGAAAGAAACTAATGTTGGACCCCCGCCGATACATTTAGTCGAAAAGCTTAGAATATCTAAAACTCAGAAAAAGATCGAAGATACACTTTTGCATTTATCCTAAAATTCTTAATAAATAATACCTATAAAATAATATATTTAAAACACAAACATTTGTTTCATCTTTTTTTAATAATTTAGTTACATCGGGAAAAGAAATTAAGCAAAATTATTATAATTTTTTTTAGAAAAATAATAAAGTTTAAAAAAATTTTGCAAATAACAAAAAAACTTTTTATTTTTTTTAGTAATATTCGATTTATAGAATTTATTTATATTATATATGTTTTTTTATACCCGAATATTTTATATATATATTATGAATAACGCGATAGCACTTTTATGAAAGGGAAAATATTTTTTTTCTCTCAAATTTTATACCAAACTGTTATATATAAAATATTTATGTTTCCATCCATTTTTTAAAAAATAAATCTCATTTTTTTTAAAAAAAAACATTGTATTAGATCGTTCCAATATCAAAACATCATTTACTACTTATAAAGCTATTTTTTTATAAATGTCTTTCAGATTCGTATTTGGTATTAATGTTAACATGCATTCCTCAATTTTTATACATTTTATTTTTGGAATGAAAAGAAAATAACCATGATTTTATATCAATTCTTTTTCATATTATAATTTGTACAAAAAGCATTTTTTTATACTCCACCATTATGGATTCATATAATAAATAAATATTATTTTTTTTACAAAATGTTATTTTTTTTATATTTTTAATATTTCTACTTTTATCCGTTTATCTTTAACTCCGCAAAGGATTCATTTAATTATAAATCTGATTATAGATATTTTATTATTATGAAATATTCAACATGCTTTTTATAATTTTTTATATTATAATATATTAAATAAATATAATTTTGTCGAATATTATTTAATTTTTGTTGGCAAAATATAATATAATAAGATAAATTTAATATTTAATTATTTAACAAATTTATCTCCCATAAATAATTATAAAAAAATCTAAACCTTTTTATTTCAACACTAAAAAGTTGATTTGGCCTCAGGATTATAAAAATTTACATTGATTTCTAGTAAGTACTCTACTGTTTGATAAAATCCTTAAATATTTTCTTTGAAGAACAAATTATTAGAAATGCCAATATCTTTTGTTAGAAAATCTTTTATAAGTAAATCTTTTGAATTTTCATGCATAGAAACTTTTCAAAGTAAAGTTAAAAAATCTTAATTGATCCAAAGTATTTTAATTTTGGGAAAGTCAAATCTTTAAATTATCGCTGACTGTTTAAAATTATCTACTGTTTTTTTAAATATAAATTTTCCTACATTTGGTTATAGTTGTATAATGGTCATTGTTAATATAACATGCGATATTGAATCAACCAAAATTTGATGTGATTGAGTTAACCATTTTATAATATTTTTATTTTAAAAAATAGTCATTTTCGCTAAACCTCTGGCCTAGTTGGTTGAGTACGTGTATCTCAATTCTATAGTTTTGGGTTCGAATTCAGTAGGTACCATGTTATTTTCTGTAACCAACTAGGTCATATGAGAGATACATAGAATATCGGAAATGGACGCGCGATTCCCTTTCTTAATTTTTAAAATAATTGGTTGTTATTTATCAAATTTGGCTGTTATATAGTAAATTGCTTTATTCACTAGTGATCTGCATCGGGCCTAATTTTTCAGGCCCGGCCCGAAATTTTATTCAAAAAAGTTTTGCCGGCCCGAACCCGAATTTTTTTAAAAAAAATTTAACGACCCGACCCGGTCCGAATTTATTTAATTACTCAAAATAAAAGACATGTTATATCGTTTAGTTTCAATAAATAAAATCAAATATTTTTATTTTACATAAAAACTTCAATATAAAATTGATGAATTTAGATATATTTTTAAAAAAATTCAAGGTCCGACCCCACCCAGCCCGAATTTTTTAAAAAATATTAGGCCCAGCCCGAAACCGATTATTTTAAATAGAATTAGGCACGAAGCCCGTTCGGGCCGGGCTTAACTTTGCAGATCTCTATTCACTGCGATATTTAATGTTAATCTTATATTACACAAATGGAAATGTGCCCTTATATATCGATTGGCTCATCTTTTTGCCATTTTTAAAAAATCTTTTTAAATTGTATACTCTCATCTATCCAATAATCCCTATTAAGAATATGATGAGCTCATGATTGATTGAGTTTACTAATAGTATTTTTTTAAAATTTCGTTTAAGGCTATTTTTTATATTGTATGTCTTTTAAACGGCCTATTTGGGTCGATTTTTAAAAACGGCCCGATTATGATTTTAGCTAAACTGTAAATTATATTATATAATCCTCGAGGTTTGGCAGAGGTGAAACCTTTCTACCATCTATAAGCAAAATCTTGTGGCTTATATATCATTTTAGCTAGAATCTAAATCGAGCCGTTTTTAAAAATCACTAGAATTTATATTTCGAACCGATCAGATGCCCTTATTAGGAAATAGGTCTGATTTGATCCCACATAAAATAGGATTCGATTTGGAAAATAAAGTTATTATGATTTACTAATTTCTCAATAAAAATTATAAACTCTTGAAGGAAAAAAAAATGATGTAAGACGAGGGATAGGTCCAAATACATTTTAAAACTAATGATGGCCCATTAGTTGAGTTAGTTCGGAAGATAGATGAAGGATTCATCTGTATACTTAATTTAAAAAAATACCATACATCAAACCAAGTAACATTTTTTTAAATATAAAATGTAGCCTTCAAAGATGTGAGGAAAAGGGAGTGGGTAACTTTCCGTTCCGCTTAAGCTCTTTTTATTAATTTTAAAAGAGTCCTTTCTACGTTAAAGAATATCAATTGAGACCTGTGTGTCTTCATTGTATATTTTAATACAAATCAGCTGAAGAAATCTTTTTTTATATAAATACCAAAAGGGTGTGTAACCAGCTTTTTTGTATCTATGCACATACATTTAAAAATTCAATTAATCATCATTATGGTATGCATAATATAGAAGAATACATAAATATTATAGAACATAATTATTATTTTTATAAATATGATATGACTTTGTTTTTAGTAACCGCAAACAAGTGCAATTTAAATCAACTCTATATTATAATGAAATAGAATTAGGAAAATATAAAAAAATTTAATAAAAATTTTACACATTTCTAATAATTCAAATAATGTCATATTTTCTCATTTTTATATGAATTATTTTTATGTAAATAGTATATTTATATCAATAAAACACTGTCCATGAAAATAATGCAATTATTAATTATATTATGAAAATAATTGAATCTATAAACTCCGGTTTGGGACTTGTTGGCGCAAAATATGACTTTTATTTGAATCAATGTTGAGAAAAAAATGATTAATATTTTAAACTTTATCAATTTATAAAGTATTATACGTGTTTGAGCTATCTCAGGTATTTTATAAATTCAAATAAAACAATTATTTTAGGACCCATGAAGATTTTTACAAAAATTGTGCAGAACTGGTCCTCCTTACATATTATGGACAAAGTAAGAATTAAAGTTACACTTGATGGTTATACCTAAGGTTGTATAATCCGCCACTGATTTGTATTTTAAATTCCTAAATCAGATTCCGAATTTGTTATTTTTTGAGCCAGGTTCTAGGGCCGCAATTAGGATTTCTCCATTGGATTATGTTCCACTTATTTTAGATCTTTATATTATATTTTTTATAAAAGTAATTTTGGGCTTCCACTTTTTTTTAATAAAAATGCATTTTTTTTCTAGGAATTTTACAAAGCCGATTTTTTAAAATTATTAACTTTTACTCATTTTTCTTTTAAATTATATTTTATAGTGATATAAATAGTGTATTAATATGCTGTTTGTTTTCTTTTACCTTTCTATTATACCAAGATTTGTCGCTACTGTCTAATCGCTCATTTACCGATGTTCCAATTTTGGGATCAACTAAATATTTGCCTACAATTTTCTTAAAAATTGAAGTCACTATTTTCGAACCTCGATTTACCAAAATTAATTTGCTTTCCAAGACACCCAAAAATGGTAAAACAATAACGCAGAATTCACTTAAAATCTCATAACTTATCCATAACCTTTTCTTGAAAGTTGGCTCTTCATTATGTATCTTACTATTTGTATGAGTTTATGCTGTACTCGGAATGATTGTTGGAACATTCCTGTCAAGAAAATTTGTTTCGTCATTATAGCCTATGATGACTAAACATTTGTAAACATGAAACCACAATATATTAGAATATGCCACAGCATGCGATATACGAGGCAAAAAGCCAGAGCCAAATTGATTTAAACGTGACCATCGTTATATAGTTAAAAGGGAAAACAATATCAGGAAACCACTTATCAAACTTTTACTTATGGGGTAATGATAGTGAGCCAAGTAATTTATCCAAATTTTTGAGTTCCAGATAGGGTTATTGATACCGCCTCCCAAATGTTTCGATATCGGAGAGATTTATAAGAAGTGTATTCAATAAATTGGTTACGAAAAGCCATGATAGTATAATATATTGATCATGGAATAATTTTAAGCTGCGTGATATCCTACTCCTGTTATACTTGCAAAAGGACAAAGAAGTGATTAAGTAGGCATCAGAAAAATTTCCTGCAATTTCAAGAAGAAAAATTAACGGATTTTTCATATAACATAGTTCGGAAGAGGTGTTTGAGAAACGTTCTGTTTTTTAAATCATTATATACCTTAGGAAATTATTATTTTTTACCAAGAATTCCTCTTACTTGATTAAAAGGAAAAATAAACGAGATTTGAAATTTATTCATTATTGGCTCTTATTTATAACTTCAGTGCTATAAACGATATTTTAAAAATGTAACATCGTTATATTTTCGTTATTCCCGAAAGCTTCGCTACCTTCTATAATTTTCGAAAAAAGACGAGTTACTTAATTTTTTTAAAAAAAAGTAACTTTTCAAATAAAATATATTGATATTTACTATATTTTTTTTTAGATATAAGTTAGTCCACAGACCCATAGTTACAAATTTTCCGTTAGGTTGGCGCACTTTTTATTTGGGGTGGCCAATATTTTTGCACTAAAACAAATATTCAGATACACATAAAAGTACTTTTGCTATTTTTATTGAAAATGTAAATGAAAACGAAATATAAATATTCAAATTAATAATTTTGAAATTTTAACTTAAATGAATTAAACAAATAGGTTATATTTTTTTTAAAGCCAATAGATACTAAATTTTTCAATGATTATTTGGTGATCAAAAATCACTAGAAGTTGTTGATACTCCAATGATAGACGCTGCTTATATAATTTTTTAAAAGAATTATGATATTTTCTTCATATATAATATAATAGCCCTAGTAATATTAATTTGAAATTGTGTATATTCCTTTCCACTCAGCTTTTAATAATACCTCTTGCGATTTTAATTTCATGATGTAATGTTTCAATTTCAATTATATAATGAGGCCATTTCTGCTTTAAAATCAACTGAGTCAGGGAAAAGACAGGGGATAGCAAAGTTATAATCATCCCTATTAAATCTTTCTAAAAATCGTTCATCAAAATAATCAATCATACTAATAATTTCCTTTCGTAGAACTCCAAGTGCTTTTCACAATCAAATTATATTTTGATTTAAAAAAATAAGATTTAGGCATTTTATTAACCCCTAAAGACTTTTTATGAGACCTGATATATTCACTTTTTAAATATACCCGGGCCGGGCCTTATATTTAAATATTTGAAATCGCTATTATTAGCTATAATCAAAAATAAGTATAATATATTTTGCAAAAATCCGGGCCGGGTCCGAAATTTTTCTTTTAAAAAAGCCGGGCTGAGCCATGCAACTTGTACCTCTGCAGGTGTCTGCTTTTTATGGATCAGATTAAATTTT